TCTGGTGGCGCAGCAGCAGCAGGAGGCCCCATTAGCTAAAGTGGTGCTTCAGGTTAAGAACAGTTTCAGGTTAAGAGCGGACCTCCGGAATGAATTAAGTACTTAACCTGAGGTACCACTGTATGTTATTTTCATGAACATACGCATTTATATGTACAATTTCCTTTGGTCCATGTGTGTTTGCACAGTTTACTAGGCTGGAGAGCTGCACTGCAAAATTCGAACAAGTGCAAATTTCAAAGGCTGACTGTGTTTGGGTTCTCATATTGTTGCAGAAAGTCCGTGTTAGGTAGGTTAGCCTTTCAATAGGGACTGAGTTTAATTTCTCCTCCAGCCCTAGAAGATGAAAAGGGGAAGGTTTGAATTATTTATTTAATATTAATAGAGCTCTTCATAGCTTCTTTTCTTCTTCCACAAAATGTCTCCATGGCACTTACAAAATGTTAAAGTACAGATCAACTTATCAAGCATATAAAATGGAAAATAGAATAAATGTGGTGGAGTCTCCTTCTTTGGAGGTCTTTAAGCAGAGGCTTGACAACCATATGTCAGGAGTGCTCTGATGGTGTTTCCTGCTTGGCAGGGGGTTGGACTCGATGGCCCTTGTGGTCTCTTCCAACTCTATGATTCTATGATTCTATGAAAACACGAAATAAAGCATGAGAATAATTAAAATGTGTTCACCCATCAACAGCAGTCAGAGGGACAAATCCTGCCCCACTCCAATAAAAGATGAGTGCCAAAATGTGCCAGAATCATACCATGTTAAAATGGGCAGCGTGGAATCGGGCTGGATTCCAGAGTAGCATTTTCAGACTTTTTCCAATGAGGAAGTAAACTGCTAAAAAAATAAATCTGGAAACATTTTTTCTATCCCCCTCCTCTATTTTTAAGTTTTGTTTGTGAAATGATGAAATGATAAAATTGTGCAATAGTGCAATGGCGAAAAGATGAAGATGTGCCACATGACTGGACAAATCTGGAACCTAAAAATATATCAAACTGTGAAGATGCTAGGGTTAAAAGCATAGATTGCAGCCAACTGTCTCCCCAAGTTTCCCAGTTGATGATTTACCTGAATTTGTTCACTGGGCACCTTACAGAACATGGGATGAGGAATCGACTCCCACTCTTGGATACCAACCCAGAACAGATGTCTCTGAATCATATTAATTCTTGCCACGGCCTGAAGTGATTCAGTCACAGCAATGAGGCTGTCATTTCACTAGAAGCTTGTCATGGTTTGGGGCCCATGAAGATAAATTACAGAAAGAGGACTGGCAACAACACAACTTCCTATCTGCAGAGTGGCCAGCAGCCTTTTTTTCTGGGGGTACTCAAGGATATGGACATCTTTTTTTTACCAGATGTTAAAAGCGTGGCTCTTACTGTAACAACTTCATGGTGAGTTCCTTTAAAAGAAAACAGCACTGTAGATAAACCTACTCTTCCCTCCTTCCCTCCTTATGGCTGCCAACATGTGTCAATTTTAAGAAATTAATAACAATATCAATAACAATAACAACAATAATTTTATATGCCACCCATCTGACTATGCCCCAACATTCTCCCCCCTTCCCCTTTGCTTGCTAGAAACCATATAATACTTGCATTCCAACAATTTTCTGATAACGTTCTGCTCTAACCAAATCCTTTTGTTGGTATTTTGTGTGCCTTCCCAAATAGGACTCAGCTACATTAGTCAAAAAACAACGCTTTGAATGATTTATAAACATGCAACACCAGATGGCACCGGAGAGCAAAAAAAATTCTATTCTATGATTTTTACATAGCGTTTTTTTCTTTCGTTAGAACGATTTAATTTCTTACTTATTCATAGCATTCTTTTCCTGTGTGTAGATCCACCTATAGATTGATCCATCCATCCATTCCTGATGTAGATTATGATCCAGGCTCACAGTATCTTCTAAAACAGAGGATTTGAAAGATCCCATCCATATGATGGAGATTGCATTGGTCCCCACAGTAAACAAACAGATACTAGGGTTTCAGGGAATTGCCATCTTCAGTGGATAGCAAAATTTGCCCAGTTAAGCTGCTTAAATGTGATTTGGGGGGGTGCTTGGGAGGTTCTCTTGAAAAAGAAAATATGATGACTAAGTCATCTTTCATGTGTGTCTTGCAGAATTGCATGCAGTTAGCTAAATATAGCTAATTGATGCTGGGATTGTCAGAAAGACAAGAAAGATAATTGGCAGTGTTTGTTTACAAAAGAACCAATTCACAATCGAAAACATGAATTCTTAACTCCAGAAAATCTGCAAAGGATTTCTTTGAAGGATTTGGGGAAGGGCCACAGCTCAGAAACAGAGCGGTTGACATCTCCTCCATCAAGACAATTATTAGGATGTCCTTCCGGCAGACCAGAGTAGATGTTTGGCATGTTCCAAATCTGCTGGTAGGAACAGGGAAGCAACTTCATCCAGGCTCACATTTAAAGATGGCCTTACTTAATTTGCAGTTTCTAAAACAATACCTGAACCGGAAAACCGCCATCCTTCAAAATTCGCACTCTGAATTCTGCAGTGCTCCAGCCAAATAATGGGTACAGAAATGCATATCCATGAATAAAGTCAGGGCCAGCCCGATACATTTTGACACCCGAGGCAGACCACAAAATGGCACACTCCTGCCAGAAAAGAAGAAGGAGTGAAGATTTACACTGGGAACAAGCAGTGGTGGCGAGAGAGGGGATCAAATCAACCTTACCCGATGGTTGAACTGGGAATCAAGTGCCATCATTGGGGGAAAGGGGCCTCCTTTGAATCATGCCTGGCATATACAGACCCCAGGAGACCCAACATTTCCTCCCTAGGGGTAGAAGGAGAAAGGGACGTGGGTGGCGCTGTGGGTTAAACCACAGAGCCTAGGACTTGCTGATCAGAAGGTTGGCGGTTCAAATCCCCGCGACAGGGTGAGCTCCCGTTGCTCGGTCCCTGCTCCTGCCAACCTAGCAGTTCAAAAGCACGTCAAAGTGCAAGTAGATAAATAGGTACCACTCTGGCGGGAAGGTAAACGGCATTTCCGTGTGTTGCTCTGGTTCACCAGAAGTGGCTTAGTCATGCTGGCCTCATGACCCGGAAGCCGTCAAAAAAGCGAGATGAGTGCCCCAACCCCAGAGTTGGTCATGAGTGGACCTAATGGTCAGGGGTCCCTTTACCTTTACCTTACTGTGGAGGCAGTATTGCAGCATGGGCTACTTAGGACGAGGCTCCAAGGAGCTTGCCACAGCCATCATGGCAACAGCAGAGGGTGAGGCACTCTATGGAAGCTGGATCTGCTGCCCCTGTGAATCCTGCCTCCTGAGGCAGTGACTTCATCTTGCCTCATGGATGGGCCAGCGCTGGGTAACGTGTTCATATAGACAACATAAGCTGATGAAAATAACATAGAAAAATACATTGTATTGGGGGAGGGATTGCTTTGCAGAAATGCATCTATTCATCAAAATTAGGTGTGTAAGGAGAAAATCACACTAAAACGCTCCCCCAATTTTCAGGAGGGTTTTAAAAAAATAATAATACAAGCATGAACTGATGTGAAAATGTGGAGAGCTGAAGTGAAGATTTGTTAGAAGACCTCGATTCCCAGCACAGAGCTCCAATTCTCAGAGTGATTTATCAGCCGATTCCTCTTCCCAGGACCTCTGGGAATTGTAGCTCTGTGAGAGGGAAAAGGGGTCTCCTGGCAACTCTCGCCACTCTTAACAAACTACAGCTCCCAGAATTCCTTGGGGGGAAATCACAACTGTTTAGAATGGCAGCATAGTGCTTTGAATGCATGCTGTGACCGTGGCCTGTGACTTGTTGTTATTCATTGTCTTATCCTACAGGAACAGTGGTACATTTGGGCAATTTTTTGCTGGGGAAAGGCCTCTCTCTTTAAGATTCAGGTAAAAGGCCTCATTAAACAAGACTGTAGATCATTTGGTATGGTTCTAGCCAGGATAGAAAATTCTGTCCATTTTAGTTCTTCTCAGTTTCTCATTCCACCCTGCCCCCCTTAAGTTCATTTCCCTACTTTCTGCATCAGGTGTTGTTTTTAAAGCCCTCGTGAAAATTCATAGCACCTTAGTGCTAATTTCCTCTAGTATGCACATTTTACCCCAATATTATGCATTTCATATATCATTTCCAGTAATATATGTATCTTATGCACACTTTCTCTGGATGGCCACATTTTTATACATCTTGTTTGGTTGAAGAACTGCACCACAAAATTTCAAAAGTGCAAATTTCAAAAGAGAGCTGTGTTTCCATTCGCAGATTGTTTCAGAAACTGAAAATTAGGTAGATTTGCATTAAAATCCTAATCAAATTGAGTTCCTCCCCCATCACTAGGCCCCAGTGGGAGCAGGGAGAGCTTCTGTAGTTCTTTGTAGGCTCCATTTATGAGCAAGGAGCATCTGTGAGCCAAGTTTGCAAGCGCAATTGTTTATTGCACTTCATGAAATTAGTGCTGGCACCTGTTTGGAATATGGAATGGGCAATGAAATGAAATAGAAATCAAATGCTAGGCTCAGCTTCTGGCAGATTTCACAGCCGCCACTTAATAAAGGCATATTGCTTTGTCAGGAGTGTTTGAACACACAACATTCCATTGCCTTTCCTGACTAATTGGGATTCTACCTGTGTCAGTCTTGACAAGCAAACAACATTTATTCCAGAAGATATTCAAGGACCACCTGCATCTCAATGAAGTCTTCTTTAAAAAAAAAAAAAGCTTCATTAATATTCATCTAATGCTTACAGAATGCCAGTATAACAGTTAACCAGGGGGAGCTCAGCTGAGATGCCTGGAGAGTTCTTTGCCTGAGAAAGATGAACCAGCAGTCTTGATGATGCTTAATCAGCAGTTAATATCTTTAACTATGGACCTGAGTCACCTAAAGCTATTTACATATAATTCCTGGCAATATTTCTGCCTCTGCACAGTGGATTCAGCCCCCTGTAACCACCAAAATTGGACTCGATATGCATGTTGTGGGGAAAGTAATTTTTATTTCTGTAAATATTTATTTAGACAGTCTGTATACCATTTAACGGCAGTTGTCTCTAACTGATGTATGAAGAACACAATGAAAATTAAAATGGGTTAAAACGATAACATCAGAATTCAGTTTAAATACATGCAAAAGATTTTTTTAAGTATTCAGTAGGTGGCGGAGGTTCAAAAGGTAGGAGGGACTTGTCTTGCCCTCCGCTGGAAGGGAGTTCTATAAAACAGGGCCCTCAATACTGAATGCACAGATCTGATAGGTACGAGCCATTCATCAGAGCCGTGGGGAATCACTAACAGTGACTCCCCACAAAGACCTCAGTCTTCAGGCATCCTGGGCCTTGGAACCAGTGGCATAGCGTGGGTTGTCCGTGCCCGGGGCTATGCGAGGGGGTGGGTGTGAGGGAGCATGCATGCACATTCAACTGCCTAATGGCATCTGCATCACCCAGGAGATCACAGCCACAGAGATATGAAAAGAGTCGTTCTGTTGTCTGCAGAAGTCTCTTCCTGTTTTGCATGTAGAAGCTGTTTTCAATGCAGCCCAGTGATGGAAATGCACGGCTATATTGAAGCAGCACTGGGTGCTGGAATTTTGCACCCCTAACAATTTTGCACCCAGGGCAACTACCCCGTGCCCCCCACGCTATTAATGACCCCAGCCTGTTAGTGTAAGGGAAGCTAATGCAAGTGTTTGAGCACCGGAGATATATGCTGAAAGCAGTCTTCCCCCATGAACAGACAACGTGAGAAGGAAGGAGGTCTGGCACCAGAGTGTGGCATCCACAGGCAGTTGCTGGGGTCCCAGTGCCTTGGTGGGGCCCAACAAACACTTATGTTGAGTCTCCCGTATTAGGCAGTTAAGTCTGGGATCTAATAAGGCACTGTTTTAATTCCCATAATGACAAAGTTGTTCCAGGGCAGGAGCAAGGAAGTCCATGAGCCACCCTGCAAACTTCTGGTAGCCACTTGCGAGCGATGGTCATGGCTGATGTGACATTGGGCTAGTTTTGTACAGTAGGCTAGTTTCTACATACGCACATCTTGGACCCCAGCGGTGCATTCAATTAGTGGAGCGAGCTACATGCAGCAGTAAGCACAAATAAGATGTTCCAAAGATGAAATAATGGGGTTGAGTATCAGAAGCATGTTCATGGAGAGCATCATCTGTGGCCTTGGACTGACTAGGAAGGAGTGCAGGAGAAAGACTGGAGCACTCCTGTAATAAATTCATCTAAGAAGAGCACATTAAATTGATCTAGATTTCCATCCCCTCCACCACAGTAAAAGAAAATCAACACACAAGTAGCCCATTACGTTTTCCTCTCTCTGTTCGACTGAATTCTTCACCAGCTTACTGCTGCTTCAGCAAGGTTTTCTCTCGTTGGCTTTTAAGCAAATGTATGGATGGAGAAGACCAGAACAGCAGACATCAGCACCGTCACCCACGCTCCTTGTAAACCTGATGAGGAAGAATACTCTCATATTCAAGGTATGCAGGTGACAATGATTTCAGACATTTGTTTCATAGAATTTTAGAACTGTAGAGTTGGAAGGAATCCAAAAGGTCATCTAGTTTAAATTCACCTTTCCCTCATAAGATACACAACCTTACAGACCAAGGAGTCTTATATAAAACACAATTTGGGTCTGGTCCCAAATTTGCTCGTGTTTCATTTGTAAGAAACAGAAGGCAAAACATATCTATTGCATTTGAGAAATGCTACAAAATGTATCCAGATTATTATCATTATGCATGCCTACCCTTACCTGGGATTTTTTGAAGCCAGAACAATGCACCCAGATAATAATTTCAAGTTTGCTTTTTTTATTTATTTGGTGGGAACCCACCCTTCAGGTAACAAAAAAAGAGCTTACCTTGAGGTGCAGCAGCCCCAGCAAGATGTTCAAAACCTGTACCAGGCGGCAGAAAAGGGTATTTTATTTTATTTTTTATTAGATTTATATACCGCTCTTCATCATATGATCTAAGGGCAGTTCACAGGATAAAAAGGTAAAGGTAAAGGTACCCCTGCCCATACGGGCCAGCCTTGACAGACTCTAGGGTTGTGCGCTCATCTCACTCTAGAGGCCGGGAGCCGGCGCCGTCCGCAGACACTTCCGGGTCACGTGGCCAGTGTGACATCGCTGATCTGGCGAGCCTGCACCAGAGCAGCACACGGAACGCCGTTTACCTTCCCACTATAAAGTGGTACCTATTTATCTACTTGCACTTAAGGGTGCTTTCGAACTGCTAGGTGGGCAGGAGCTGGGACCGAAAGACGGGAGCTCAGCCCGCTGCGGGGATTCAAACCATACAATCAGCAAGTCCTAGGCACTGTGGTTTTACCCACAGCGCCACCCGCTTCCCAGAGTTCACAGGATAAAACCAAGTAAATAAGTAAAACAAAACAGTTAGTAAGGATCACTGTACATTTTGTACAAACACCTGTTTTATGGAGCCATTTGTTTCTGTCCAAAAGACAGACCCAAATGCAGTTCCCTTCCTTTTGTTTGCCTGGTGAAATTATTCCTCTCTGTTATCATCCTTTCCATTGTTCCTGCCACTCTGGGTTATTAACTAGACCTTTCTGGTTTTTACCACTAAAAGTAATAGAAAGAAAGCTGTGCAGCAATGCATGCTGCATACTAAAAATTTCTGCTTACTGAAGCCGCAGGAGGGACCTATTTGACAGCAGGGTAAGCGAGGCTCCTGGGCTCATCAGTGTGGTGCATTGGGTGGAGTGCTGGACTGTAAACTGGCAGATAGAGATTCTTTTTCTGCTTAGCTGTGAATGGGGATGTTGGAGAATTCCTTGCAAAATGGAAATTGGAATGGAAATTGCCACAATTCAAGTGTTTGCCGAGGTCAGGGACAGAAATCATGCCAGCAAAAATGAGTGGTATCGGTGCCTTTCTTTCTTTTGTTTGGCTGTGAACATTACATAAGCAATTGCCTTTAGAAATTGCACGTCATTTGATAAAGCATACAGAATTTTCTTTCAAAGGCTGGCGGACCAGAATTTGGGGCTAAGCTGTAGCAGAAAAGTTAATGGAGGAGAGACACCAACATTTGGAAAAGTTCATTTGATGGTACATAGTACCTTCTTGTAAATTGTGTGATCCAACAACAAGGTCAGATTCTTCCGCCTCCGCTCTAAAAAAATCTATATGGTTGGATATTATCCCCATGCATGAGGCTTACAAAGTGCTGTTAATTTTTATTGTGAATGTGTAAAATTATCATCAATTTTGTTCCCATTATAATGCTGGAGTTTATGGACAGACACCCAGTTTATGTTCTGTTTTGGTTAGCGTACTATGTTTGTTTTATATTTTGTTTGTATATTTTACAAAATATTAATACATTTATGGGGGAAATGATTACATTATTTTCTGCATTGTTCCACTGAAATGTGTCAGTGTTAATGACATAAGTATGTTTGTTGCAGTCACTGCAGATGGCAAGTTGAGTAATGTAGGTAGGTTTCAGTGGGAGCTGGACTGTAGCAGCTGCAAAATTTCCAGTGTGATACTGGCCATTGTCTCCCTTTCGTTGCCTTAACCTAACCAACCTCACAGGGTTGTTGTGAGAATAAAGAGAGAGGGTCTGGAATGCTGCCCTGAACTTATTGGAGGACAGGCATCATGGAAAATGACAACTATAACAGGACCAGTGAAGTGCTGCTATTCAGCATTCCAGCTAATCTATTCTATTTCCTCACTCTCATTTATTCCATCATTCACTCAGCATTCCACATCTATTGAGCATCCTTAGTTCCACTGGGCTGTTTGTGGGTTACTCCCTCCATTTAAGATTGCTTTCCTTCTCTTTTAGGGAGGGGTAGACTAGTTAAAGCTATGGTGTTCCCAATAGTGATGTACTGAAGTGAGAGCTGGACCATAAAGAAGGCTGATCGCCAAAGAATAGATGCTTTTGAATTATGGTGCTGGAGGAGACTCTTGAGAGTCCCATGGACTGCAAAAAGATCAAACCTATCCATTTTGAAGGAAATCAGCCCTGAGTGCTCACTGAAAGGACAGATCCTGAAGCTGAGGCTCCAATACTTTGGCCACCTCATGAGAAGAGAAGACTCCCTGGAAAATACCCTGATGTTGGGAAAGATGGAGGGCACAAGGAGAAGGGGACAACAGAGGACGAGATGGTTGGATAGTGTTCTCAAAGCTTCCAGCAGGAGTTTGACCAAACTGCGGGAGGCAGTGGAAGACAGGAGTGCCTGGCATGCTCTGGTCCATGGGGTCATGAAGAGTTGGACACGACTAAACGACTAAACAACAACAACAACAATCATCCCTACAGAGTGTGGGGATGTTGCAACAGCCATACATGCCACTGAGTTACTGTGAGATTTTGATATCTGCCTGAGAGGAGGTGATGGTTTGGAAAAGCCCAAACCTGTCATCAGCATGGCTGATAAACAGAGAGACCTTGTGCTTTATTTCCTGGACTTCCTCCACTGAAATCTCACTCTGACAGTGAAAAATTGCAGCTGGCGAAAGAGCATCCTGCATTATCTAAAACACGGGGGGGAAGCTCCCTGGTGGGAGATGGCAAAGTGGAGACCCCCCAAGGAGCAGCCATTACCACAAATTCTATGTTCCACCTCTGCTGTCAGAGAGAGTGTGTCAGTTGCCAGGAATAACAATTATGGAGAGGGAGTCCGTTCAGTGCCGGATTTACTACTACTACTACTACTACTACTACTACTAATAAATTTATTTAAACCCCGCCCTCCCCAGCCAGAGCCAGGCTCAGGGCGGCAAACAACAGTAAAAATTACAGTAAAAACATAATAGGGGGGGGGAAAACAACCAATTTAAAGAGTTGGACACGACTAAACGACTAAACAACAACAACAGACACCAGCCCATAGGCATGTGTAATGAGAGTCCCTGGTATACTCAAGCAAACCCAGTGTTTAAAAAACTGGGGATCAATGGAAGCAGACAGAAATAAATGCAGGCAGAAGAAAAAGGCTGGAATGGATTGGCAGAAGTATAGCCCAGGCAGAAGCTGCCGATCCACTCCAGACTTTTACTTCTGCCTGCACCTGCTCTGGCTCTGTCTCATGGCTCTGTCTCCATCCGAGTTCTGCTCACCACTTTTTGTGCAGCAAGATCTGTGAAGGTGAGGGGCTGCTTCTGTGGCACACAAGCAAGGAGAAGGAGGAGGAACTATCTTGCCCTTGGTCATCCAGATCTGCCCTGCCTCTCGTCAGCTTGGCATGGATCTATTTCTCTGCAGGAAAAATCTTCTATTTGGTTGTTTTGGTTAGCTTTTTGTCATCCCGCCCCCTTCTTCCTTCATTGAAACAAACAAATGCATTTTAAAAGATCCTTGGGTGCACCTCCTAATGAAATGTGCTGCACATTCCTATGCATGAACCTAGCATTCTCCCCAATATGTTTCTTTCTTACATGCAGGGACTTTCCTTGTAAGGAGAAGCATCCAGCGATTCACCTACAAGCTGAAATCTCCAGCCTAGATACAGGTTCAGCACTTTTGCCCTTGTTATTGTATTTGAAACACACACACACACGCACGTCTTTACCTTGGCGGGCAATGGGACCCACATCCAACAAATAGCCCTTTGCGACAGCAGCAGCAGCCTGGCGACTTTCAATTCCTGCGCAGCGCTACAGGGGAGAAATGTGATTTGGTTTCTCAGGAAGGGATGAAATGGATCATCCATTAGTATCAGAGTACATCTGAACCCACTAAGCTACAATTTAAACTGATGAGCATCAGGCTCACCGGTCTGCATGGTCCAGCACTAGGGTCACAGAGGCGAACTTTGCAGTGGAGATAAACGAGGTTATGATTCCCAACGAACTTGAACACTTGGAGGGAAAACCGTCCTTGAGCCGAGACTCCATTTTCTGGGACTGTTATACTGGCATCCCGTCTGTTTGGGCAGCTGTAAAACCAGCAAGAACTTTACATGAGACGAGCCCCACCAGCCCATCTAGAACAGGGGTGGGGAACCTCAGGCCGGGAGGCAGCATGTAGCCTATCAGGCCTCTCCTTCTGCCCCTCAGAACTCTCCCTAGCCACACCCCCTCCTTCACTTGCCACACCTCCTTACCGGCCCTGCTTCACACCCTCCTTGAGTGTTTTTCCTGGCTGGACTGTGTCCCTGAACTCCAATCATGACTCTTGATAATGCCCAGGTGGAGGATAGAGAGGGATGAGGTGCATGGGTCTAAACACTAGCTCAATGCACAAAGGTAAAATTTGCATCTGTTGCCCCACCCACTTTTGCCTCTGTCCCACCCAGGGGGCCCCAGAAGGCTGTTCGGAAGGGAATGTGTCCAGCATCTGTCTCCAGAATGGCTTTCCAGTTGTTTCCAATAACCCCATAACACAGAGACATCAGAAATTCTGTTAGACGCAGAGGGGTCTTGCTTCTTAAAATTAATTTCCGTGCATCACTTTTCTTCCACTGAATTTACAAGAGCATTCTGGAGCTTCCCAGACAGGCACTAACCAGCCACATATTTTCAGCTAGGTTGCAGCCTGCCCTTGTATCCCTGATCCCAATCCGAATGCTGCTTCCACTCTAGACTTGATTTCACACACCCCGGAACCCGATCCTGAAACCATGAATGGAAAAGGACAGTCCCTTGATCAAATCCACACACACACCCTTACTGTACCTGTTTTGAATGATGAAATATTTCAGAGGGTCAGCGGTGTCTTCCGTGGACGTTGCAAAGCAATTGTCCATCAGCAAGACGAAGCGGCTCACATCCCCACTGGTGACCATGACACCAACATAGAGCCAGGTCTGAGTTGGCAACACGGCCATTGCTCCCTCATAGGGCGAGGTGTAGTTTTGGTCTCTGTAGAGAGCCATCTTAATTATAAACTGACCTGCTCCTTCAATGCTGATGTTGGTTGAACTGGAAGGTGAAAAAAAGGAAGTAAAAGTGTGGGGATTATGAGCATAAGAAGATGCTGTTGGCCCATCTCGTCCAGCATCCTGTTCTCACAGTGGCCAGCCAGATGTCTGAGGGAAACCCACACAGGGTTGCAGCACTATGCTTCCAGTAGCTAGTATTCAGAAGCATTGCTACCTCCCACTGTGGAGAACCAGAAGACGTATGAAGAGGATGGAGCAGAGACAGACAAGGCAAATAAGTCTCGGGTTGCTGGGGAAGGACTCAGGGGAGGAGGAGACTTAAAGAGCTGTGGGAAAGCAGCAACCTTCAGTCCTCGCAACTGCCTCATTGGGGCACGACCTACTGGGAAGTGATGCTGTGCTCACTAGGTCTGAACTGCTCTGTTTCTTTGAATAAGAGTTAGCTTCATGGACGCCTTGTGAGTATTCAATGGTCTAAACCACTGAGCCTCTTGGGCTTGCCGTTCAGAAGGTTGGCGGTTCAAATCCACACAACAGGGTGAGCTCCCATTGATCTGACCCAGCTCCTGCCAACCTAGCAGTTCGAAAGCATGCCACTGCAAGTAGATAAATAGGTACCGCTGCGGTGGGAAGGTAAACGGCCTTTCCATGCGCTCTGGTTTCCATTATGGTGTTCCGTTGCACGAGAAGCGGTTTAGTCATGTTGGCCACATGACCCAGAAAACTGTGGACAAACACCAGCTCCCTCAGCCTGAAAGCGAGATGAGCACCGCAACCCCATAGTCACCTTTGACTGGACTTAACCACCCAGGGGGCCTTTACCTTTTACCTTTTTTTACCCAACTCCCGCCTTGACAGTGATGCCCTTGCAGAACATAGCAGGGAGGAGGATGGAAACAAAACTACAATTAGTTCACTCTGTCTGTGATTGCCTCAGGCTCTGCCTGCTCTCTGGGCTCTCTGCGTTCTGCTCTGCCAGTCTTGACGGGAATCAGCCACCACTGAACTAGCTTACATTTCAAAGGTAAAATTTACATTCATTGCTCTGTCCAAGTTTGCCACTGGCCCTTGCCTGCCACTGGCATGTGGCCCCTGGAAGGTTGCCCAGAAGTGAATGTGGACCTTGAGCTGAAGAAGGTTTCACACCCTCTGCTTTACAGGATCTGCTCCCTCACATTATTCCCCAGTGGTTGGAACCCTAAATAGAAATGAAAGTATCATTAGGCAAGATGAACAGCTTTCCTCTTAATAAGTAATGCCGTACCTGACAATGGGCTGGATGGCTGTTCTAAGGCTGGTTTCCATATCCAACGGGTAGGAGCACTGGAAATTAATTTTGATTTCGTTCTCTCTAATGACAGTCCCATCAGCCAGATAGAGTGTGTTGCTATATGTAGCATGAGTTTCATTTTTCTGAAAGGGGAAATAAAAAGAATTAAAGCAACTCGTCTCCTGACTTCAGCACAGTTACATGTGTCCCTGACTAATTATTCCCAAGTGCACATTTCTAATGTGAAAGAGAGAGGGAAGCTGCTTTTGAGGAAATGGAAACTGCTCTCCTAGCCCCCTTGCTCCCCAGTTTCATAGATGCTCCCTCTTTGTCTCCTGTGGCTGCTTTGGCACCATTGCTTTTAGAAGTATCTCCCTCCTGACCACAAGAGTCTTGTGTCTTGACTCCCTCCCCAAAACACACTTGCTTCATTTTAAGTAAGAAGGAGTTCTTTATTTGAGCAAGTACAGGCTCAGCAGCAGACACAAGACTCAGGAAAGTACAGGGGTTCAGAAGAGCAGGGCAAGGAGTTCAGAACTGGATGGAAGCAACCAAGATGTCCCAACAAGTTGCTATGCACGCCAAGCTTCTAAAGACAAGACATGCCCTGCTCCCTCACCAGACTTGCTTGCCTTGTGGGAATGTCGGGGTTGAATATGGGTAGGTTTTTCTGCTCCCATCTGCTAAGGTGCTTGGTTCTAGGAGAAAAGACTGCACCCTCCAGCTTGAGCTCCTGTTCAGTTACTGCTGACTCCTCTTCTACCCTTGTGCTCAAAGCCCTCCCCAACTTCCACTGAGGCTCCACAAGCAGGTCAAGGGGAAGGGGGAGACCAGTGTCCCTGCTCCTGCTTAGGAAGTGGCTGAAGTCAAGGTGTAAAGGGGAGAGCCCACTTCCTCTGTCCCCACTTTCCCACCATTCAGTCTGGTCCATTTCTTCTTCCTTCTGCAACAGAGCCTGCCAATCTACAGCTGATCCCAGCAGTGCTGTGGGGCTTACAACCTATAGCCAATCAGGGGTCCTGTAACTGGAATGGTGATGCCATGCTATTGTTACAATGTGAATTCACTACATGATTATGTGAAAAAGCCATTGCAGAGTGAGGCCAATGCTCCAACTTGCCTTCACTCTAAATAGACTTCATGGTGAGACAATGTAGCCAATCATCATATTTGCAGATATGAGAACCATCTCCAGGAAAGGATCCAGAAAATCCTTCCTGGTGAGGCTTTCCCACTGAATAGAGAACCTACCATCAATAGTGTTCCACACTGGCCAGCTTGGGTGGGTGTCACCACAGAGACAACTGTTCTATTCCCCTGCTCTACAAAAGCAGCACATCGGTTGTCTCTCAAATGCATGGTTAAATTCTGGAAGCTATTGAGGGTGCAGTTTGCCATGGAGACCTTGATTTCATTTGCACCACACTCCAGTTGTGGCTTCAAGTTAGAAGCATCTTAAGAACAAGAATAAATAGTAATTGTAGTGGCAGCAGCTGTTAATATTTACTAAGTACATTCTTTTACTGCTAGATTATTTCCCCCGTTTCAAAAGCTCAAAGCAGTTCATATATTGAACCAACAATCTGTTGTAATTATTATTTTACATTCCTAGTTGCAGAAGTGTTTGTGTGTGGAATAAGTAGCATAGCAAATGCAGAGGGGTTTTTTTGTTTTTACAGTAAACTGTAAGTGTTGTAATTGTGTGGGGCTCAGAGTTCATTCTAGCTAGCTGATAAACCTCTTGCAGTGTCTCATTTGAAAACAGTGGTGCTTTGATTGACATCAAGTAATTGTGGGAGTTTGCTGAAGCAGAGTTGCATAAAGAAATAGTCTGATAAGACTGACTGTCAAAAGACTCAAGCAACAGACAGTTTATTACTCCTGGCAAACAAAGCCGTTCTGAGCACAAGCCATCCTGGGGGTCATGAGTTTAACAAAATGAAGGAAGGTCTGATACTAACTGGAGATTGAGGAGGAAGGAAGAAAAGCCTAAGAAAATAAACAATCTACAGGTAGTTATTTAAGAAGGACTCCGTGAGGGGAGAAAAGGTTGCCTGTCACACCCTACTTGTTCAGGTAGCTTTGTTGCTTTACAATTGCAAATTGCTTTACTCCCAACAATATTATGAAATTTCTGCCTCTGACAATTAATCTGCAATGGCTCGTTTGCACGTGCCATTGGAATGTTCAATTAAACAGGGATGGGAAACCTGCAGCCTCCCAGATGCTGTTAGATTGGACTTCAACTCCCATCATCTCTAGGCAGCATGGTCAATAGTCAGGGAAGATAGGAACTGTAGTCTAACAACATTTGGATAGTAATATGTTTCCCACCCCTGGTTTAAAAGATGGAAAATTTGGATTTGGGGCAGCCACTGTGATGTCCTTCAGATGTTTGTATTACCTCCTCTATCGTCCCTGGCTATTTGCCATGCTGGCTAGGGATGGTGGACATTGTAGTCCACAACATCTAGATGGCATCCAAGATGCTTGCCTGGATACTGTTGCATACCTTTAGTCGCCAGGCAAAAACATTTCTTTATAACCAGGCCTTTGACTGATTGAACATGCTATGGCCTTTTAAATGGGGGGGGGGGGGTTATTGATTTGTTTTTGTTTTATTAGGTATTTTGTGTTCTCATTTTGTATCTTTATGTTATGAACCACCCTGTGATCTTTGGGTGAAGAGCAGTATACAAATTTAATAAATTCTAAGAATAATAGATAACGTTTGGTACCCCTGATATGTATATAGTGAGGGGGGAAAGTATTTGATCCCCTGCTAAATTTGCCCGTTTGCCCTCTGATGAAGAAATGACCAGTGCATAATTTATAATGAGTGAAATAAGTATTTGATCCCCTATCAACCAGCCAGATGTCAGGCTACCTGGTATCTTCACTGTATGTAACGAGCTGAAGCACCTGCTGTAAGGGAGAGGTCTTACCTGTAATCCCAGCTCGTTACAGCTGTCGAGACACCTGTCAAGAGAAGCAATCAGTGACCCAAAACACACGGCCAAGGCAACAAAGGAGTGGCTCAAGAAGAAGCACATTAAGGTCCTGGAGTGGCCTGGCCAGTCTCCAGACCTTAATCCCATCGAAAATCTGTAGAGGGAGCTGAAGGTTCGAGTAGCTGCACATCAGCCTCAAAATCTTACTGACTTGGAGAGGATCTGCAAAGAGGAGTGGGACAAAATACCTCCTGAGATGTGTGCAAACCTGGTGGCCACCTACAAGAAACATCTGACCTCTGTAATTGCCAACAAGGGTTTTGCCACCAAGTACTAAGTCATCTTTTGGAAAGGGATCAAATACTTATTTCACTCATTATAATGCACATCAATCTGTGACTTAGGTCTTCTGGGTTTCTGGGGGTTTTCCTGTTGTTATTCTGTCTCTCACAGCTACAATATACCTACCATTAAAATTATGGACTGGTCATTTCTTCGTCAGATGGGCAAATTTAGCAGGGGATCAAATACTTTCCCCCCTCACTGTAAATGAGCCCTTGCATGCCAGTGGGCGATGTCACGACTGTCCTAGGGTAGTATCAATCATTCCTCCTTTCTCGCTCCAATGTTCTTTCGTCTTGGTCCTTCCAAGCCATGACACCCTCAATGCACCTACCAGAACTGCAGGCGCAGCCCCATTTCCCATTGATCAGCTTGCACTCTTCTTCTGCATTGCATCCATGGCATGGGCTCCCTACGTACGCAGGATCTGGAAGATTGCATTGATGAAACACAAAGTGGATCATGATTCACAGGTAATGCAAATGCAATAAATTAAAAAATAGATCGCTCTTTTCCCAATGCAAAACTTTTCTCCAAAACAATTCCAAGCAACATACCTGTGCAATAAGTCAAGGAACAAGCTGGTGTCCCTTGAAACTGGTAGACGTAATAACCACCTACGCAAGCTTTAATCTGTACAGGGATAGACCAGTGACAACAGTTACCGCTCCAGTCGGCGCAGGCGGTACGGGTTACTATTTCATCATTACGGGTCGGGTGCAATCCATTTAGCCACATGGGTGCATCAGTGTTACATCTATTGATTGACACGCAAGATTCTGGCATACGCTCTCCTCCACTGCCTACAAATCGATACCACCCTTTTTTATCACGGTCACAGTTATTTCCATCCCCGTAGGAGGTGCTTCGCCAGGGCTGATCTAGAACCGTGTGACTCGAACATGGATCGGAGCAGGAACGGGATCCGTTGAGTCCCACACATTCTTCAGCAAAGCCAGCAGGTTTGCAATGGAAGCCATCTCCACTGTAACCCTCGGGACAGGAGCAGGAATAGTTGCCGTGGGTGTTAATACAGGTTGCTAAGGAATGGCAATGATTTAGACCGCGGCTGGAACACTCGTCCACGTCGGAGCAAGTGGCCCCATCTCCAGTGAACCCATCTTGACAGATGCATTGGCGGAGATCTCCATTCTCCTCACAGGTGGCATTTGGGTGGCAGTCTGAACACCGTACTGTAGCTAGTGAAATAAAATAAAAATGGGGAAATGGCTTTAGCTTAGCAGTAGAGCACATGCTTTCTGTGCAGAAGGTCCAAGGTTCAATTGCCAGGTTCAATCACAACAGCAAAAAGTATCTCGTTAAAACAGGACATTTGTCTTCTTACCGTTCACCAGCCTCGTCGTCTGTGCAAAGGTGGAACATCTGAGACTGACTAAGAACAAAAGCAGATTAAATGGATGCTTCATACTTAGCCGTAAAAGGAAAAGCGACGATACCTAAGAACACAGGGCGACAGATAGCCAGGCTGAAAGGAAGACAAAAAGATATATATTATTCCCTATAAATTGCGCTTTCTCATTTTCAGAACCTATTAATAAAAGAAAATCTGGCATTACTACGGTAATAAGGGCTCATCTGGGCCAGAGTCAAATATCAAGGCCTGCTCCCTGCTGGTTCATGTAATCCCCCAAAATCAATACAAAAGAGACCCTTGTTCTGAACCTCTAGGCCTATGAACAACTTACTTTAATAAGGGGGAAAATATATAAATAAAAAACTCATGGACTCAGCTCTAAAGCACTCATGAGTCACCGTATTTCAGTTGAGCTCCAATTGAAAACTAAAGCTTTAGTTTTAAAGAACGAAATTTTAACCAACCACTCCCCAAACTCTTATAAGCAGTTTGCAGCATTGCAGCACATGGTCAATACAGTAACCACCTTTGCTGATGTGCCTATGATGTCCGGACAGTGTTGTGTCTCTGCACATTTGTTAGAACCGAAATAAATTTTGGAACATGTTGAGTTTCCTTTTGTTATCTTTTGTCAATTTTGTATTGAAATTCCACATAATGAAATTAAGATTTTGACCTTGGCTTTGAACTCAAACTTTGAAATTTGGTGAAAATGGGTTGTCCTGCTGGACAGCCTTATACCTGCTTACCAGGGAGCCAGCCCCTTCAGACTCAATGGGACTTATTTCTATGAAGACAGCACAGTATAAGACTACACCGTTAATATCAGTAGAAGCTTCTTTTGTAATTATAATTGTTCATTTCTTTCAACATTTGTATAAAATAATAAAGCATGCTAGGATCACATTTCCGAGGTACATTTTCATTTTCTAGATAAAATAAAAGCTTTTTGCAGCATTCAAAATAAGTGATAAAGCATGCCAGTAATTCATTAGGCATGTTAGGAAGTTCTTTGATTGGTCAAGTTTAAAATACAACCCCTTGCCAAGTATCAAATCATGTCTTAATTCAACTACTATTGCATGCTAGCTATCAGTTCCAATAAATGTTCAGTATCATTGCAAGTCAATTGTCAAATATCGTCAAACTAGTTACCATTGCATGTCAGCTATCAAGTAACATGAAATGCACAATATCGTCGCAAGGCCATTATCAAACATTGTCAGATCTTAATGCCGTTGTATGTCAAGCTATCAAATACTCTCCAGTGTCAGTGTGCAGCATTTTATTGCTCCAACTCTAGAGTAATTTCCCCCAAACATGCTTCAGCTGCAAACTCAGAATAGCCAACAAATATTTGATATCAACATTTGCACAAAAGGACGTTAAGCGTTTTTGAAAGGCAATTCTTTTTAATTAAATGTCATGCTCTTGTGGGAACAAGAAGAACCATGGAAGGATCACTGCATGCTGTCATGATCCTAGCTCGTAATATGCTAGCCCAGTATTGCACTGGCTCTCCCTTGCAGTAGCTTTTAAACCCTGAACAGGATGACACAATCCTTGTGCTCCCATAGCTTCTGCAGTGGACTTTTTGTTTCTCCCTCTCTCAAAGCAATAGAACTTGGGGACATCCAATGATGCTGAATGCTGGAAGATTTATCCCAGAGCCAGTGTGGTGTAGTGGTTAAGAGTGGTGGACTCATAATCTGGTGAACCGGGTTCGATTCCCCGCTCCTCCACATGCAGCTGCTGGGTGACCTTAGGCCAGTCACACTTCTCTGAAGTCTCTAAGCCTCACTCACCTAACAGCGTGTTTGTTGTGGGGGAGGAAGGGAAAAGGAGATTGTTAGCCGCTTTGAGACTCCTTAGGGTAGTGATAAAGCGGGATATCAAATCCAAACTCTTCTTCTTCTTCATTTAGAACAAGCAAAAGAAAGTACTTCTTCACAGTGCACCGTTAAACTATGGAATCCCCCCTTTTTTTAGTGATGGCTACCATCTTGGATTACTTAAAAAAAAAAAAAGAGGATAAGACTTCCAGTTTGTTTCCAGACCCAACTCAAGATCCCCATGTTAGCATTTAAAGCCCTCAACGACTTAGGCCCCAGATATCTGATAGACCACCTCCCTCCTTACAGACCCCATCAGGTATTAAGATAACCAGAGGTGGATCTTTCTCTCTTGGAAGTTTGGGAATGGTGACCCAAGAGAGAGCATTATCTGTGGCACTGCTAAGTTGTGGAACTCCTTCTCCACAGAGGCACACCTTCACAAATTCATAGAATTGGAAGGGACCCTGAGGATCATCTAGCTCAACCCTCTGTCATGCAGGACTCTTCATCTGTCCCATATGGGGACCAAACTTGCAACCTTGGCATTAGCACCATGCTCTAACCAGCTTTCGAATGCTAAAGACATATCTATTCTAGCCTGGCCTTTGACACTTGACGTGTGTGTTTTCAGGACCCACCCTATACCTAGGATTGTAATTTGTTTTCATTGTTTTTAATTTCTGGATTTTAAATTTCCGCATCCGGCACAGGGAACTGATGGTGAAGGGTGGGTGATGATAGTCATGATAGCTATGTTCTCACTCTAGTCTGCCTCTGAAAACCAGAGGTTGGAAATTCCAAAAGTGGGAATCCCAAGCGTACAATTACAGAGATAGTCCTAGCAGAGAGGGTGACCGAAGGATCATTAGGTATTGCAGTGTTCTGTTTCTGCCATTGGAGATTTGTGAGCAGAAAAGTTCTGCCATCAGAAGCCTCCTCATTTTCACAGCTCTGCTGCCCTCACTTTGCCATCAATGCCCTAATGGTGGCAGGGCCCAAAAGTGGATGTCATACCCTCCAACATTTCTCTGATGAAAAGAGGGATGTCCCATTCCATAATGATAATTTTACTAATTACCAGTATACCCCACACATCTTACTGGGTTGCCCCAGCCAGTCTGGGCAGCTTCCAACATACATAGAAACACAATAAAACTTTAAATATTAAAAAAAACCTTCCCTATACAGGATTGCCTTCAGATGGCTCAGGGGTCAGATAACTCCATACCCTCCAACATTTCTCCAATGAAAATAGGGACATCCTAAGGAAAAGTGGGAAATTCCAGGATCAAATCAGAAACCAGGATGGCTTCTCTACATGAGGGATGTCCCTCGAAAATAGGGACACTTGGAGGGTCTGGGATGTGCCAGGGTACATCAGCACAGATCACAGAAGGTGTTGGACCTTCAAGATCATAGTCCTCTGATTTCCCTGGAAAATCACTTACACACAAAGCCTGACAAAGGAGAAAAAATTGCTCCATCCCTGGAAGTATTTTATTCTTCTATTGAAATAAAAGGAATGGGGAAAGACAAAGTTCCAATAACAGGATGGGGGAAAGGGAAAAAAAAGCTGCCCTGCCAGGATCTCCACCCCATGAGACCATTGATCCAGTTACCTCAGTATTGTAAACAATACTGAGGTGTCTGGTTTCCAGGGTTCCAAACAGGGGCATTTCCCGGGCCTACCTGAAGCTCCAGGGATTGAACCTGCGGATGCTCTACCACTGAACTACAACCCTTCTGCCCTGGCCAATGAAGGTTTAAGAAGTGGATGTTCCTCTGCCACTGACTGTCCCTTCCCCTAGACCTCCACAAGTTCACTCAGGTAGTCACCTTAAGCACATTCGGCTAGGTGTTCTTTCTTTCTGGCTCTCCTTAACCCACCCCTATTCAAAAAAATGTTGGTTGCTTCTCCCCTAAAATGTGACTACCAATAATATCTGCCAATCACATAAATTAAGTCCAGCTGCTGCCCTGTAGAAACTCCACCATTGTCAAATTCTTTGTGTTACTACCTAGGAATAGTCAATATCGAATCAACTTATACTTACCACTTGATGCCAAAGAAAAGAAAAGCTGAGGGGCTAGATTTTATTTTCCCCTTATATAGCCTTTGTAAAAGGAAATGTTTCTAAGGCTGGAAAAGGAAATGTTTCTAAGGCTGTTTAATCAGCTTTATTTGTATAACTATATAACAAAAACTAGCCTTTGGGGTATGTGGACACATTTCCTTTTTCCTGGTTCTCAAATTTCTCTATGTTGCCAAAACCATAAATATCAAGTGGTTTGTGAAAAGAGGAGAGGGGGTTTTTTTACAGCAAAATGTGGCTGTGCAGAATATTCCCATTCAGGGTTGCAGCCAGCCAGCCAGCCAATTCTGCTCTTTTTTAGGAAGCTCCATTCCAGTCACCTCCTGGTCAGTCACCCTTCCACAGGGCCAGGCCTGCCCATAAAGTGGTGTGAGGCAGTTACCTCAGGTGGCAGGTGCTCAAGGGACAGTGCCCCACAGGCACGCCTCTCACCCCACCACCGCCACCAGCAGTGCCAGCTTCCAGTGAGATCTCGCAAAATCTCACGCGATCTCATTGTCATCTCATGAGATCTCACAAAGAACACAAAATCTTGCCAGAAGCCGCAATGGCTGGACACCAATTTGTGGCAGATGCGCCAACTCTAGGGGACAGAGGTGTCTTTGGCCCCCTCAATATTTGTTTGAAGGCAGCCCAGTCTCCTCAATGTTGAGAGGGCCTGGCATGACATCACAGAAGGCTGCACTGGCCTGTGTGGCATTGGGAGATGTGTGTGTATGGTGTCTGAGACCGAAGAGGAAGACCAGAGGCACAACAGGGCTTTGTTTAGGCTGCTCAGCCTCCCTGCCTGTTAGATGCTGCTGGTGGTTGCTCGTGAGTAAACAGGCATGACTCCGACCTGTCTTTTACAGGTTTTATTGTGCAAACTATTCACAGTGCAGATCTACCAAAGTTCATGTCCGTCTCAGTCACTTGCAGAATCTGGGAGTGGCCCCTTCCGGCTTCTCCCCCAACATAAGAACTTTGGCACCCCAAGCCGCCTCCTCCCCTCCTTGCGTTTCACCCCTCTGCGCAAGCTGGGCGATGGAAGTGGTGTGCTTCCCACCTGGCTAGGTGATGCGCTGGGGCTCTCAGCAGCATCCTCAAGCCCTTCCCTCACTTGGCTGGTCCCTTCCCTTTCTTCTCCACTGGAAGTGTGGCTTTTCCCACCGGTGGAAGACGAACTGCTCCTCAGGAGCTTTGCAGGCTCTTTGTATCCCAACGGCCCCCCTGCCTCCCTCCCCTGTTCTGATGGCAGTCCCCTGACACCGCCTAACAACTGAAGCAGCAGCAACAGCCATGTTCCTGCCTATTCTCCGGCCTCCTGCCAGCCCCAGAGCTACAATTCCAGGTCTGGATATTTGGGGTACAGTATTTTTATTTTATTTTTGGAGAGTAGTCTTTTGGAGAGAGAGTGGCTGGGAGGACATTTAGAGGGTGTTTAGAAGGTATTCCTCACTTATGCAATTTTCACTTATGCATATGAGGCATAACCTCTGTGTAAGTGGGGAGTTGCCTGTATATATAGAAATAGAAATAGAAATAAAAAGAAGCACAGACTGGAATTAGCTTGATTTGCCCGTCTTTAACCTTGGCAGGACACAGGCTTTTCACATTTTCTGATCCCAATTGGAATGAGTGATCCGCCTTGCAGTTTTGCCCTGTTATTTGACATTTCCCTATGATTATTTTACAATAAATAATAAGGGTCACAGACACCGTTTGAAGAGGAGAGCAAAAAGAAGCACCAAGCTCATTTTTCAAAAAATAAAATAAAATAAATATAAAATATATGTTTGGCATTTCACATATAACATGATCTCCCTTTCTCTGCCACCCAAGAGCGCAACTCAATCGTTTGCCCAAACAACCTTGTGGTTACCTTCAGAACAGAAGCCGGTGGGATTCAGCAATGCCAGTTTGCAAACAATGATGCAATATTTTAAAAAAGAATAGGGAGTTGAATAGTTAGCTTGCTTCTCTTTTGCATGGACCATGCCTGGACCTTGGCTAACTCATTGAAGTAAATATTGGTCTTTGGAACAAGGCAATCTCAAAGCTGCCTTGGGATACTGAAGAGCTTTCAAAGAATTGATTGATTCAGTAGCCTCAATTAAACAAAGAAAGGCTCGACTGTACATTAAGAAGTGTCAAGTAATTGGAGTTTAGCCACTCAAGATCTTACATCACTTCACCTGGAGACTGTTTGCTTCTTTCAAGGACTACTTCTCATCAGCAAATGCGGCTCCATTAAGGTGAGTGAAGCACTGCCAACCTCTGTTGCCCTCAACCAGCCCTTGCTTGCCTGTCTTCTTTCTTACAACCAATCAGGAGGTGGCTCTCTCTGTCCTTGGCTCTGGCTCCATCCACTCTTGGTCTCCCAGCTTTCCACCCCACCAGTCCCAATGTGTACCAGCCACCACTGCTCCTGATCCCTGACCCCCCCCATTAAAAACTCATGCACATACATTGCCCCAAACTCCACCCACCCAACCTGCTCAACTTTCATAACAGCATAGAAGGGAGCCTGAGGGTCATCTCAGCTAATGCAGGGATCTCAACTAAAGCATCCATCACAGATGGCCATCTAACCTCTGCTTAAAAACCTCCAAGGAAGGAGAATCCACCACTTTCTGAAGGAGTCTGTTCCACTATCAAACAGCTCTTGCTACCAGAAAGCTATTCATGATGTTTAGCAGGAATCTTCATTGGTTTGGGTCCTACCCTCCAGAGCAGGAGACAACAAGCTTGCTCAATCTTCCATGTGACAACCCTTTAGCTATTTGAAGATGGTCGTCGTATTTCTTCTGTCTCCTCTTTACCAGACTAAACATGCCCAACTCCCTCATAAGGCTTAGTTTCCAGACCCTTGATCATCTTGGTCACCCTCCTCTGCACACGTTCCAGCTTGTCAATATCCTTCTTAAAATGGTGGTGCCCAGAACGGGACACAGGACTCCAGGTGGGCTCTGACCAAGGCAAAATACAGTGGAACTATGAGTTCCCTTGATCTGGACGCTAGACTTCTGTTGATGCAGCCTAGAATAGCATTAGCTTTTCTTATTGCTGGTTCACCCTGTTTCAGAAGGCTGTTTAAGAACATTATCATCCTGATCATTATTAAGTCATACTGAAACAAACACCCATTTGCTACTATGTATAGGAATTTTCACAAAAATAGTCCCTGTGTGTTAAGGAAGGGAAAGGAGTATTTATTTATTTATTGCCTTGATTTCCCACCTTTTTCTCCAAGGAGATCAAGGTGGCATACATGGTTCACCCCCCTCATTTAATCTCAACAATAACCCTGTTAGGTAGGTTGGGCTGAGAGGCAGCAACTGAACCAAGGTCATCCAATGAGCCTTCATGGCCAGTTGGGGATTTGAACCCTGATCTCACAGGTCCTAGTCCGACCCTCTACCAGCCTTTCTCAACCTTGGGTCCCCAGATGTTTTTGGCCTACAACTCCCATCATCCCTTACCACTGGTCCTGTGAGCTAGGGATCATGGGAGTTGTAGGCCAAAAACATCTGGGGACCCAAGGTTGAGAACCACTGCAGGACTAACCCATGGGTAGGCAGACTAAGCCCCGGGGGCCAGATCTGGCCCAATCGCCTTCCAAATCCGGCCCGCAGACGGTCCAGGAATCAGCACATTTTTACATGAGTAGAATGTGTGCTTTTATTTAAAATGCATCTCTGGGTTATTTGTGGGGCATAGGAATTCGTTCATTTTTTTATTTTTTCAAAATATAGTCCGGCCCCCCCACAAGGTCTGAGGGACAGTGGACCGGCCCCCTGCTGAAGAAGTTTGCCGACCCCTGCAGTCTAACCACTATGCTACATTGTCTGGCTGTTCCAGTTGTCACTACCAATGCTCTTGACAGTCACATCCAGGCTGAGTATGCATTCGGTGTCCTTGAGATGGGGCTCCATGCAAAGGGAAATCCTGGACCAAACATTGATATGTGGATAGAAGATGTCATAGCTGCCAAGCATGGGGTGGCAAGGTACACAGCTAGTTTGAGCATTCCTGCACCACCCTCACATTGTGGGGAAGGAAAAGGAAAATATTTTCAGTGGCCATTTCTCCCAACACACAAAATTTGCATGTGCCTGTTTCCCCAATTTTTGCAAAGCAACTTCCTCTAATAAAGTGCATTTTGGTATGCTATTTTTACTATTATATGTGCTTTTGTGCGCACTTCACTCTGGTATATGCATTCTTTGTGCACACTACTTGGCTGGAGAACTGCGTTTTAAAATTAAGAAAAAAGCAAATTTGAGAAGAGGGTGGTGTTTTGGTTTGTCCCTTTTTAAAAATATGTGGATTTGGTAGGTTTGCCTTTAAATTAAAACTGGATCAAATTTCTTGCCATCTGTGGTTACACAAGGGAGGATGTAAGGAATCTTACATATTCAAAGTTCCTAGAAAAACCTGCATCTTTAATTCAGCTTCTGCATCTTGCCATTTCATCTTCAGTTCAATCTATTCAACTCACTGGCAGCCCGACTTGCTGGTTATCTATGCAGGAGCTGAATAAATGAGATGGCTAAAATTCAGTGCACCTTTGAGTAGGAGAGGGCAGGCTTTGGGCTTATGGGATCTAACCTTTTCTCCAAAATTCCAGGGTCAGCTGGAGCCAGGTTCAAATGGCAAAAGTCACATCCACACCACTGTGATGCAGCTTTAAACACTCCCAGCTTCCCCCAAAGAATCTTGGAAAGCTTATAGTTTGTTAAGGGTGCTGAGAGCTGTTAGGAAACCCCTATTCCCCTCACACAGCTGCAATTCCCAAAATGCAAGAATTAAAATTGCAAATGCTTGAGTTAATATGAAGTGCAAACTGGGCATTTGAGCTGTGCCAACAGAAAAGCTTCATCAGAGCAGCCTGCAGACCTCTTTCTACGGGACGGGACACTTTCCTGGGTCTGCTTTGGTTAGCAACAAGAAAGCTGAGTTAGAGAGACTCAAAAGCTATTCCAGTGGCAGCTGAGGTTCATTGGGACCAGTGCGGCAGAAGACGGGGAAATCAACAGTGTGTGGAACCAGAGCCAATAATAGTAATATTAATAATTTATTATTTATACCCCACCAATCTGGCTGGGTTTCCCCAGCCACTCTGGGCAGCTCCCAACTGAATATTAAAAACACAACACAGCATTAAACATTAAAAACTTCCCTTAACAGTGCCACCTACAGATGTCTTTTAAAAGTAAGATAGTTGCTCATTTCCTTGACATCTGATGGGAGGGCGTTCCACAGGGCAGGCGCTATTACCAAGAAGGCCCTCTGCCTAGTTCCCTGTAACCTCACTTCTCACAGTGAGGGAACCGCCAGAAGGCCCTTGGCGCTGGACCTCAGTGTCCAGGCTGAACGATGAGGGTGGAGATGCTCCTTCAGGTATACTGGGCTGAGGCAGTTTAGGGCTTTAAAGGTCAGCACCAACACTTTGAATTGTGTTTGGAACTGTACTGGGAGCAATGTAGGTCTTGGCGGCAGCTCCCAGTCACCAGTCTAGCTGCCACATTCTGGATTAATTGCAGTGACAGGCAGAGTCATGTCCTGATTGGTTGGCATTAAGAAGAGAGGCAGGTGGGGGCTGGCTCAGAAAAGACTGAGGTGGATAAGCCAGTTCTCCATTTCTCCATCATGGGCCCATCTCCACTCCTGCTGAGAATGATCATCAGTGAGCCAAAACACACACAATCAAACCAGTGTATTTCTTTCTCTTGTCTTTATTTGTTTGAATACCTTCCCAAATCCCCATGATCAGGTCAAGATTCTTGTAAACAACTCTACCATCCTTCAAAAATCAATGTTATCTGTGCTTTAAGGAAAACCTACAGCTCTTCCTTTTGCACAGTTCTTTCCTTCTCCTTTTCAGGGTCTTCTTTCTTGGCTTTGGATGAGTCCTGATAAACAATCATATAAAAAAGTAAGTTATGCAACAAAGCCTCTTCATAACAAGTTAGCGTTAGAAGAAGCAGCAAACTGGCCAAGCTGGACTTACAACTTGGGGGTGGGCCAGTGGCCTTCTGTGAAGGACATGGGCCCCACTGGATTCAAGAAGTCTTACTTCTGAGTAGACATGCTTAAGGTAAAGGTAAAGGGACCCCTGACCATTAGCAGCGCTCATCTCGCTTTATTGGCCGAGGGAGCTGGCGTACAGCTTCCGGGTCATGTGGCCAGCATGACAAAGCCGCTTCTGGCAAACCAGAGCAGCGCACAGAAACGCCGTTTACCTTCCCGCCGGAGCGGTACCTATTTATCTACTTGCACTTTGACGTGCTTTCAAACTGCTAGGTTGGCAGGAGCAGGGACCGAGCAATGGGAACTCACCCCGTCGCGGGGATTCGAACCACTGACCTTCTGATCGGCAAGTCCTAGGCTCTGTGGTTTAACCCACAGCACCAACATGCTTAGGACTGTGCTATAGGTTCTGAGCCACACATTAGCCCAAGAAGTGTGGATCAGGTAATTTTGCATTGTGAATCCACAAAGACAGGATTCCTCAGGCATGGGTACATGAATCCATTGTGTGCAAGACAATCCTAAAACCACCTTTAAACATAAATGTATACCTTACCTTCTTTCTTGCCTTAATTTGTTCTTCTAAGAATTTAGCAAAAGCATTGAGATTGTGCTCGCCTTTATATGGGACAACCTTTGAGGAGGAAAAAACAGGGGGGAGAGGTGAATGGAACAGTGAATTGTCTGTTATTTTGTGAACTCTTAGGGCAACATGCTTGGTACATGCTTGCCCTACAGATATCCTTTAAGACAGATATTGGGTTGTATACTTGGAGTAGACTCATTGAAGTTAATGCACATTACTAACTTTGGTTTATGAATTTTGCTCGAAGTAGGACTTAGCTGGATACAGCCCATTGTTCCAATGCTTATGAAGGTCCCAATCCATATTGGCATTCTGCTGGCTTTTGAAGACATTTGCCTTGAGATCTCAACCTGAACCTTCTGTTTTAATTAATGGGATTGTTTTTTATTTCATATTTTAATGTTGAATGTTTCTACAGTGGTACGTCAGGTTACATACGCTTCAGGTTACAGACTCCACTAATCCAGAAATAGTACCTTGGGTTAAGAACTTTGCTTCAGGATGAGAATAGAAATCATGCTCCAGCAGCGCAGCGGCAGCAGGAGGCCCCATTAGCTAAAGTGGTGCTTCAGGTTAAGAACAGTTTCAGGTTAAGAACGGACCTCCAGAACGAATTAAGTACTTAACCTGAGGTACCACAATATTTTAATATTTGTGGACCTGGTTTTATATATATATATTTTGTAAACTGTTGAGAAGCCAATTTGGCAAAAAGCAGTACATAAATTAAAATAGCAGAAAGTGCCTGGCATTGCTCGGGAATTCCAAGAAACCGAAAATATCAGCGCACAGTTGAAATCAGGGGTTAAAGTCAGTGCAGTTTTGAAAAGTTCAGTCTGCCATCTTGATTCAAAATGGCATCCAAGTGAATCTGAACTTAGACAAAAACCTGCTCTTTGATCTGAAGAACTACCATGAAGAAAACTGCTTACAATATCTTAAGAGGTGTCCAAATGCCTAGAGAACAAAGAGACAAACAACTTTCCAAAATATATGGTAGATTATGGTTGTTGTTGTTGTTATTCAGTTTTAAGTTACAGGCTAAGTTTTGGTTAAACATTATGATAATTGTTTTGATGGCAGGAGCAGTTCAATAATGAAACCAATTATTGATTGGGGAGGAGAGGGGCTCTTTTACACTAGTAATATTCAAACAGACTGGACATCAATTTGATGGGGATGCTCTCACTCTGGACTAGAGATGGGAAGGCCTGGGAAAAACCTGGGGAAATTGGGGGGGGGGACCAGGGTTTCCCCCCATTTTCCCCCCAGCCCCTTTTTCTGGAAAAAATGAAAAAAAAAGTTTGATATAGTTTGAATATTCCACACACTATTCCCCCCCCCAATTTTTCCTGGAAAAAAATGGCTTTGGGGAAAAAACTGGAAAAACCTGTAGACCTTTTATGGAGCTTAAATATTGAGGTGGACCTTAACTTTATTTGCTGTTGGTGCTAAGGGGCAAATCTGATTATTTTTTATGTTGATGGTTTCTTGCTTTTTTCCTTGCTTTTGAGGGAAAGGGGGTGGTTACCTGTTTTATTGCAAGCATAATATTTTTATCTACACTGTGTTTCACACAATTTGTAAAACTACTCCACACTTAATTTTTTTTCCAAAATTTCCTTTTTTCCCCGGTGGGAAACGTTTTTTCCTCATGGCTTCAAAATTTCCGGAAATTTTACATCTCTACTCTGGACTGCCAGCATCAAGCAGGAAATTGGACCCAGTGGCATACAAGTCCTGCCCCCACCCTCCAAATCTGTGATTTGATTATTTTATTCCAGTGCATGGCCAATTGAGAGAACTAATGGCAACACATCCCAGCTGCCAACCTTCTCAATTAGTATTCCTAGAGGGTGAAAACACATCAGGCCAGGAGCAATGCAAAACAAGAAAAGGAAATGCATTTATATTCCAAAAAGAACCAAATGCCCCAGGCTTCTGTAAACAGACACATTTTTACGCCACCTAAATGCTCAGGGCTCCCTCTTTGGTTCATTAGAATCTGGGCATGCACACACAGCAGCAGAGTACCTTCCTAAGAGATTAAATGAGGACAAATGTCTTTGAATGTAATTTATGTGTGGGGAATAGGGGGAGAGAGGAGGGGGGAAAATGAAAACCTGAGTAATGTCTTAATTATAAAAGAGTGCCATTGAATTGAATTACTTGGCTCCAGAGGTGATGTTCTCACTTCAGTTAGATTATCCATCCAAATGGTGGCGCACACCCATTTGTTTGATGTATTTTTTATTATTTGTGACCTCCTTTGTTGTAAGACTAATTCCATGGTTGTTGTTTTTTTTGAAAAGCACAAGAGAATGGTGGGTCTGAAACATAATCGGGAAGAAGGCGCCAGAAGTTTCTGTTGCACCCAGAAACGTTTCAAGCATTGCTTGAGATATTAAGTGCCCATTCAGATGTGAGGGAATGCTGAATTCATTTCCTGGATATAATGCTAGTGCTTCTGTCCTGTTTCCTAATGCTTTTCACATTGCAATACCTGCTGCATTATGGAACCGTAGCTTTTTGACCGATCTGCCAGCTAAATTTAATTCACACCAGTGGGTGTGCTCTGACTAGGGCTGCCAAACTGTGAAAATCCAGACAGAGAAGTTGTTGAAGAAGAAGAAGAAGAAGAGTTTGGATTTGATATCCAAGGAGTCTCAAAGCGGCTAACAATCTCCTTTCCCTTCCTCCCCCACAACAAACACTCTGTGAGGTGAGTGAGGCTGAGAGACTTCAGAGAGAAGTGTGACTAGCCCAAGGTCACCCAGCAGCTGCATGTGGAGGAGCGGAGACACGAACCCGGTTCACCAGATTACGAGTCCACCGCTCTTAACCACTACACCACACTGGCGAGCTTTGACATAGGTTGACATGGATTTTCCCGGACAACAGTATTCCAGATATTTCCAGGAAATTCCAGACATATGGCAACCCTAGCTCTGACACACCCACAAATGTAATTGGAAAGTGTTGCTACTCCCCTATCTTTCTGCAGATGTGTGTGTCTGTTTCTCCATGATTCACGCATGATAACAGCAAGAAATGTAGTTTTCCTTTGCTTTTGAGTCCACAGAACACCCCTGCTTGCTGCTAGAATTGCATCCACCCCTCCTATTTCATCACAAGACATCCATTACCCATAAGTACCCAGTGAGGGTGGAAAACATCTCACCTCCGTTTCAGATCCTGCAGGAAAGTACCTGAAGAACGGGTACCGTTCCAGGTTGATTAACAGAATGTCATTTGCCGTGAAGTCTATTTTGGCAATGACAACGTTTTTCCGGCTTTCATACAACTTGCCAAATTCGTCCCATACAGGTAGCAGTTTTTGGCAGTCGCGAGACCAGGGTGCATCTGGGATAGAAAACCAAGAATATGCCATTTCAAAATAAATAAATAGTGATGGTCCTGGAACTTATAACACCTTCTAATGGTGTAGTCAGCTAGTGAGTGCTGACAGAACTGTAGCCAAAGTTAGACTAAATGTAAAGGTAAAGGGACCCCTGACCATTAGGTCCAGTCATGGCCGACTCTGGGGTTGCGGCGCTCATCTCACTTTATTGGCTGAGGGAGCCGGCGTACAGCTTCCGGATCATGTGGCCAGCATGACTAAGCCGATTCTGGTGAAACCAGAGCAGCTCATGGAAATGCCGTTTACCTTCCTGCCAGAGCGGTACCTATTTATCTACTTGCACTTTGACGTGCTTTCAAATTGCTAGGTTGGCAGAAGCAGGGACCAAACAATGGGAGCTCACCCCGTCGTGGGGATTTAAACCGCCGACCTTCTGATTGGCAAGTCCTAGGCTCTGGGGTTTAACTCACAGCGCCACCCGCGAAGTTAGACTACTGAGAAACAAAAGAGAGGTATTGGGATGCACTGGCAAGTTTTTTTAAATTTTTAAAAAAACTTTCAAAGGGGAATCCTGGGAACTGTAGTTTGCTAAAGGTGCTGGGATTGTAGCTCTGTGAGGTCAGCAGCCTAAACAAATTACAATTCCCAGGATCCTCCATGACTGTTAAAGTGGTCCAAGTGTGCATGAAATGTGCGCTATGGGAGTGAAAACTGTTTCCGCTGCAGGCAAGTTTAAACTAGCAGCATTTGCTTGAACATCACCCGCCAACTCCATATCAGCTCAGTGTGCCACTCTGCTGCTGTCTTCAATCAAATCAAGTAATTCTTTCCCTGTGAGAGCTCATCAACCAGAGTCTCCTCTTCAGAAGCGCAAGTGATACTCACAGAACAGGACAAACACGTGGTTCTTCTTATTAAATACAACCCGGTCAAAGTTGCTCCCAACCAGTACTTTCACCGGCTTCTTATCCCAGCCTTCTTGGATTTCCTCGCTGGATTTATGTGGCTAATAAGGGGGAAAGAGATAAGGATGGATGTCAACAGGGGCTCATCTTTGAAGCTGTGCTGGGTGGTTAAGTGGCTCTCTTTGCTAAAAGTCCTTGGTGAGGCTTATCTGGCTGGCCACATGTTCCCTTTCACTTTAATTACCAGCTGTCTGTTTTGTCCCATAGCAGGAGAGCAGAACTACTCACTACAGTAGAGCAATTTGTCAAAATCTCAGGGACATAGGATGATATTTTATACCGAGTCAAGCCATGGGTCCATCTATAGCAGCGGTTCTCAACCTGTGGTTCCCCAGATGTTGTTGGACTACAACTCCCATCATCCCTGAGCTCTGGCCTTGCTAACTAGGGGTGATGGGAGTTGTAGTTCAACAACATCTGGGGACCCACAGGTTGAGAAAGGCTGACCTATAGTATTTCAGGCAGAGGACATTCCCAGACTTACTGGGAGATACCGAGGACTCGCCCTGAGACCATCTGTGTACAAAATAGATGCTCTATCACTCCATGGCCCTTGGTGAAATTCTGAGTCGACCTTCGCTCCATCTAGTCCAGTATTGTCTACCCTGACTAGCAGCAGCTCACCAGGGTTTCAGGCAGAGTTCTCTCCAAGCTCTCCCTGGAGATGGTAGGGATTGAATCTGGGGATTGAACCTCTGCATACAAGACTAATACTCAGCTACTGAGCTATGTCCCTTCCTTGTTGTAAGGCACCTTCCCCAACCATGTACGGAATAGGGAGTGGATTTCCTTCTACTCTGTTCCCTCAACATCTTCTGATTCAATATGTCTGGCATCCCACTCATCTTAAACAAAAATGCACTATACAATGCAGTCACAGCAAAGAACAAAGCATCAAAACCATGACATCAATTTACATGGTTTTAAAACATTGGTTTTAAAACAAAGTAGAGACATCACCTTGCCAACAAAGGTCCGTATAGTAAAAGCTATGGTTTTCCCAGTAGTGATGTATGGAAGTGAGAGCTGGACCATAAAGAAGGCTGATCACCGAAGAATTGATGCTTTTGAATTATGGTGCTGGAGGAGACTCTTGAGAGTCCCATGGACTGCAAGAAGATCAAACCTCTCAATTCTTAAGGAAATCAGCCCTGAGTGCTCACTGGAAGGATAGATCGTGAAGGTGAGGCTTCAATACTTTGGCCACCTCATGAGAAGAAGAAGATGGAGGGCACAAGGAGAAGGGGACGACAGAGGATGAGATGGTTGGATAGTGTTCTCGAAGCTACCAGCATGAGTTTGACCAAACTGCGGGAGACAGTGGAAGACAGAAGTGCCTGGCGTGCTCTGGTCCATGGGGTCACAAAGAGTCGGAGACGACTAAACGACTAAACAGCAACAACAACAACAAAACATTGGCAGGCCATACAGGTTCTCCATAGAAAGGGTTGTGAGGCTGGTGGAAGAACTTTACTTTCTTTCCCTCTTATATATGAAAAAAAGGGAAACAAGGTTTCATCAAAGGTGTTTTCTTTTATAACCCCATCTGCAATTCTTCTGAGCCCAGTTAGTCGTTCTGAACTAGCAATATCCCAAATATTATTGAACCCTGTCTCCACCTGGCATTCCACTCATCTCAAACTCTGGCTGAGGATTTATATAGTTCCTTATCAAGATTTATATACCACTTCATCAAAATATATAGGCAGTTCACATAACGTGGCATGCAATATTGATTAAAAAGAGCAAAAGCAAGACAGACTTTAAAAACAACAGACATAATAAAATGATCAAGACAGAGATAAACTCAGCAGATATTAAAGACAAATGTACATATTAAAAGTACATGTCTGGAAAAGGCTTGTTACGTGGCAAGGTCCCGACTCCCCCCCCCCCCCCGGTTGAATAAAGACACTTGACAGCAGTATTTTAGGTTAATGGGCTAAAAAAGGCCACAATTGTATTGGTTACATATTGTGAGCGGTATTGGCTTAGGCATTGGACCTAACCATATCTGACTCCTGCCCGTCTGCAGGGAGAACGGGAAGGGTTAACCACCAACAGGGGGAGTCCTGCGGATGCACATCAACTAGGAGCTCCCCCAGGGTCACCAATAGGGGTCATGCCTTAGGCCCTAGCCTCTCCAGGCTTCGGACAGGGCAACGCCTCCAGAATCCTTTAATGGAATACCCTTCAATGTGCGGGGGAGGTGATGGCGCTACCTCCCCTCCCCTCTTCTCCAGCAATATTCCAATGTCTAACCACCAAACCTTACAAAGTTGTGATGATTTGCTATGAGGTAGGAGAAAACCAAGTAGCTGGTGCCAATTTGCCAAGTCGAAAAGTCTTACCAGGCTCCTCAACAGCGACCAACCAAAGTCCATAGCAAGGTCAAAAGAGATGATAAAATCTAAAGGGTGGGAGGGTGGGAAAACCGGAGCAGCTGGAAGCACGAAAAGGGAAGAGCTTCCTACTGCGTCTTGCTTAAATCAAGCAGGCCACACCCCCAGACAAATCAGATTGGTCGTCTGGGCTGTGACACAAATGGGAATCTCCCCAATCACGCAGGGCTGACCACACCCCTGCACACATGAAGGGGTCCTGAGTGCCCACAACCCCACCTCCTCCTTAAGGCGGAAGTGGCTTTGAAACCTACCAACCAACAAATAACAGCATTTTTTAAAAAGAAGTAAGGCAACTCTGAAGGAAACTGCAAAGAAAAATTACCAGACTATAGCTAAAAGACAGCAGGGTTTAGTGCAATGGTGGGGAACTGTTTTGGCTCCACAAACCAAATCCTTATCAGGATCAGCCTCGTGGGCCAAATTTGACATGGCACTATTATTGCTGGTGGGTGAATGCCTGGGAACCACAGCACAAAGGGCATTGCTAGCCCTACACTCAGTGCTGTAGGGAGCGTTGATCATAGGGTTGGCGAAGCATTTTCTCCCCAGGTGGGTGATAGAGAAAAAAGCCTGCATTTTACAGGCTCCCTTTGGCTGCCAGCCAAAGAACCCACCGATCATCAGCTGCCATCAACATTACAATTTCTAGAGTGGTTTAACTTAAACTATACATGCACATTAATAAAACACAGCAAAAAAAGCAATTGATGCACTTGTGAGGCTCGATAGGAGCCAGACCAATGAAACCGACAAATTGTTTGCCATGGTATACCAAATGAAAAGCGTGACCCTGTTTGCTTCCATCCCAAAAGCTCACCTTTGCTTTTCCTTCTAAGTAGTTCCGGCAGAAGTTTCGTAGATTCTCCGGGGTCACTTCATCTGCAGGCATCTTGTACTTGACATTACTTGTCAAGTTCAGGATTTGAACAGAAGGGACTTCTACCTCTGTTACCCGGAAGTACTCAATCACACGGCCATTTCTGGTTTCATCAGTATCCACAAAGATGAACATAATCTGAAGAATGAAAGAAGCAAGAAATATATCTACCCCCCTTACATCCCAGAACAGTTTCCCACCTTGGGCCCCCAGATATTGTTCTGATTATAACTCCCATCATCCCTGACCATTGGCTATGCTGTCTGGGGACAGTGGGCCTTGTAATCCAACAGCATTTGGGGCCTCAAAATAGCTGTCCTAGACGGTGCTTGAAGACTGATTTTTATTTTATTTTATTTTATTTTATAACTGCTCTGTGACCCTCAAGTGAAAGGCAGTATAGAAATTCAAATAACAATAACAATAATTTATTTATTTATTTCATAAAAAATATACTGTTTGACTGTAGAAAAAACTTTAACATGCATATTTAAAATGATATCTTTATGGATGCTTTTTGTTGTATATTTCCTTGATATATTTGTATGAAAGTGCAAGTTATAAATGTGTAAATAAATGAATAAAATATCTACCACAGGGAACCAAGCAGAGGGCCTTCTCAGTAGTGGCACCCGCCCTGTGGAACAACCTCCTGTCAGATGTCAAACCTTTAAACAACTATATGACTGGGGCTATTTCTCATATTGCACGGCTGCTCGCCCCCAGTCCGTCACTTACTGACTGCCTTTGGAACTGCATTTGAACCTAGGCTTGCGAGACGATCCCAGGAAAGCAAACATCTACAGTGTCCTCAGCACTCTGACATCCAATATTTGCAATCCAGGAGAACTCCAGAAAGCGACATTATACTAACCTTCCCTCTGAATTCTGAGGCAGCAGATGTATAATTGTCATAAGCTGAGCCAAACATGTCAGCGCTCTTGGCCATGAAGAGAACGATGTGATTTTCAACGGGCACGTCAAAAATCTTCACAGATGTCTGGAAAACAAAACATCAGAGCTCTCTCACAGAAGCCTGGCAACGAAGGTCACAATCCAGAAAGAGACTGAGGGTTGTAGTCAGCTAAGCCCTACTTAGAGTAGACCTGATGAAATGAATGAACCTGTATTCTTTACTGCCCCGTTCAGAGACAGCAAGTCTGTGGGACCATTTCAAAGTTTCTTGTTGCAGATATTCTAGTACAGTGGTACCTCAGGTTACATACGCTTCAGGTTACAGACTCCGCTAACCCAAAAATAGTACCTCAGATTAAGAACTTTGCTTCAGGATGAGAGCAGAAATTGTGCTCCGGCGGTGCGGCGGCAGCAGGAGGCCCATTAGCTAAAGTGGTGCTTCAGGTTAAGAACAGTTTCAGGTTAAGAACAGACCTCCGGAACGAATTAAGTACTTAACCAGAGGTACCACTGTAATTGGGAGCTGGAGCATTTACTAGGAGAGGGAGATAGAAGCAGCTCACATCCCTGCTGTAGAGAATACAGTGGTACCTCAGGTTATATATGCTTCAGGTTACATACGCTTCAGGTTACAAACTTTGCTAACCCAGAAATAGTACTTCAGGTTAAGAACTTTGCTTCAGGATGATAACAGAAATCGTGCTCCGGCGGCGCAGCAGCAGAAGGAGGCACTATTAGCTAAAGTGGTGCTTCAGGTTAAGAACAGTTTCAGGTTAAGAACAGACCTCCGGAACAAATTAAGTTCTTAACCTGAGGTACCACTGTATTGAGCTGAGCAGAGAAGTCTGGGCTATTAGGGCAAATGGGGCACAGACCCACTCATCTCAGTGTTCCCTCAGCCATAGAGAATGGCCCCGGATCATCCAGGGAGCCTAATGATCAAGTGGAGACCCAAACTCAGGTCTCCCCAGTCCTTATCTGAGACTCCAACCACTCAGGCAGCACCAAGCTCACCTCAAGATTATACTCTATGACTAAATCCATGGTGAATGTTTTTATTAATCCAGTAAGGTCCACTTTGTTCAGTTTGCCTTCTTCGGATGCTTCATTATGAACGGGCTTTCCCTGGAGCAGAAGAAATATTCGATTTAACAATAAAGCAGGCCACATTCCCTGTTAACATTCACATGGGGAGGGCGAATCATTGGATTCAGTTGCTGCCTTGTGCCTTTCGAGAAATGATGTTTGAAAAATGGCTGCCCTCCTGTGGCGCAATGAGTCAGTGTGTCTGGCTGTTAACCAGAAGGTTGGTGGTTCGAGCCCACCCAGGGATGGCTGGGGCTAGGATTCCTGCATTGCAGGGGGTTGGACTAGATGACCCTCGGGATCCCTTCCAACTCTACAATTCTTTGATAAAGCAGCTTTCTCTAACCATCTGCTTTGTGTGCAGAAGGTCCCAGTTTTAATCCTTGGCCTCTCCAGCTGGGGCTTGGAATGTCCCATGTCTGAAGCCCTAGGGTGTCCTGGACTACAATGTCCATCAAACACAGTCACCTCATTTTTTGAAAGAGCCGCAACATTTTTCCATCGGTCTAAGCATAATGGCTGTGTTTAATCACATGACAGATAGCAGTGGCCATTTCCACTAATGTGAAAAAGTTGCACTGCTCTCATTTTATCCAGCTATTTAGTTGAAGCATTTCACTCCAGCAAAGAAAAAGGCTCTGTGAGTAGATCACAAAATATCACCCCAGGCTTCAAATATAAAAGACATAGCACAAAAGGAAAGGAAATTGGGAGTTTGAAGGAAAACAACAAGTCCAGACACTAAGACCATAATGGAGTTCTTGTAACAAGCAGCTGGAAGGAATAAGAAGAAGAAGAGTTTGGATTTGATATCCCGCTTTATCACTACCCTAAGGAGTCTCAAAGCGGCTAACAATCTCCTTTCCCTTCCTCCCCCACAATAAACACTTTGTGAGGTGAGTGAGGCTGAGAGACTTCAGGGAAGTGTGACTAGCCCAAGGTCACCCAGCAGCTGCATGTGGAGGAGCGAGGAAGCGAACCCGGTTCACCAGATTATGAGTCCACTGCTCTTAATCACTACACCACATTGTTCAAGGAGAGGAGAGCCAAAAGCTGCTGGCCTGTCCCTGTTCCCTTACAGCTTTTTATACATATAATGTATTTCTGCACTGTTTCTGCTACATAGGGATCCCACTGGAGAATGAGTTTAACATTAGTATATAAGATACACGTGTTAATAATACCTTTTGGAACACAACCACCATGTCTTCTCTGATGCCAAAGTCAGCAAAAACCTCTTCGCTGGCTGTTACTCCAAACGGAAGTTCAGGGACATCTCTTGCAGAATCATAGAAAACCTCCACAGCTCCACCTTGAAGGCTCTGTATATGGGAGGGGGGGAAGGGGAAAAAACATAAGAGAAGCCCTGCTGGGTCAGTCCAGTGGCCTATCTACTACACCATCCTGTTCCCACATTGGCCAACCAGGTGTGTGTAGGAAACCCACAAGAGCCCTCTGTCCAGCAACTGGTATTCAGAAGCATTTCTGCCTTTGACTGTGGAGGCAGAGTATCGCCTTCACGGTTCATAGCCACTGATAGCCCCATCTTTCATGAATTTGTCTAAGCCTCCCTTAAAATCATCTAAGAGTTGCACATCAACAACAGGACTCGACAGGCAACTCAGGGATGAATTTGCACGCAGGCTCAGTCAGCTGCAGTTTAGGACCTCAGATGTTATGTGTTTGTTTGTTTGTTTTGCTAAATTTCATGGTACTCCAGGTGGGGTCTGACCAAGGTACTGTTACTTCCCTTGGTCTGAACACTACACCTCTGTAAATGCAGCCTGGAATTGCATTAGCTCTTTTTGCTGCTGCATCACATTAATTCCCATCCACAATAGTTTACCTTAAAAAAGCCAATCACCACCAAATCATCGGAGTCTATGAAGGTTTTGGCCTGGTCTGTGCTATTAAGAAGTACAGTACTGAGTCCTATTTGTCTCCTGACCCATGTAATGAAGGCAGAAGCTTCTCTAACTCCTGTTAAAAAGAGAAGAAAAGAAGAAGAAGAATCAACAGGTTTATCAGCAGGAACGATACAATTACCAGAATCTTTAAACAATCAATCCCTCTTTCCCACAGGACACTAGTAAATGTAGTTCTGTGAGGTGAATAGTGGATCTCCTTATAATCCTCAGGACCCTTCACAAACTACAATTCCCAGGATTCTTTGGGGCAGTCATGGCTGTTTAAAGTGGCATGTGAGTGCTTTAAATGTGTGGTCCAGATGGGGCCCAATGCCCCACATGTCCCGACTTGCCCTTTCACACATCCAAACAGAGCACTTTAAGAGAGTTTAACTGAGGAGTGGGGAACCTCAGACCAGGAGTCTGAATGCGGCCCTAAAGATCGCTCTATCTGACCCTCAGCATTGTCCCACCTCTCACAAGGGTGCAAAACAGGACCTGAGTGTTTTTGCCTGGCTGGAATATGTCACTGAACTGTAACAGTGCCTATTGGTTGCCTGGATGAAAGATAGGGAGAGAGGGGTGTAGAAATGAGTCTAAATGTAAATATTCACATTCACTGCTCCGCCCACTTTTAACTCTGACTCCTCCCACCACTGGCATGGCATGTGTCCCACAGAAGATTGCCCAGTAGGAAACGTGATCCTTGGGCTGAAATAGGTTCCCCATTCCTGGCTTAACTAATGCACAATTGTGCCTTTCCTGTGTAATTGGATGTGCTGCCAATTAGCTGCCTAATCACCAGCTTCCGCGTCTGTTCAGGTTTGTTCAGGTCAAGCCACTCTCCTTTTTATTATTATTACTTAAAGAAAACCCTGAAAAGAGCACGTCCTGATGTGATTTACATGGCAAATCTGGAAAACACCGTTTAGCCCAACCCTGCACAAAATATCGACTAGCAATTTAATCCAGAATGATTTCGGGATCATTCCACAGCTTATTGAGCAGTCTGCCTAATTGAATTAGGTGTCAGAAGCAAAACCTGTATGTTTTCCCGCTAAACAAAAGGGGAAATAAAAAGGTGCTGAGAAGCGGTACATGAGCTGTTCAGTGCTGAAACTGAGCTTTCCCCAGTGGGAAGGGATCCAAAGTTTTAACTCCTGAAAATCCATCTGCTTAAGTTGAAAGCGGTTGTGGCGTTTACCTCCTAGGTGGGTCATTAGGAAAGGGTTAAATGAGTGAGAATGTGATTGGCCAGTGGGAATGCAAGGGGGGAGTAAAAGTTAGAGTGGGAGGTTTTGAAAGTCAGTTGAGGTTTCGGAGTTGAAGAGGGAAGGATTAGGTGTGGGTTGGTAGAGTTGTATTGTGAGAGAGTGAGAGGAATTGTTAGGTGGAGTCAGATAGATAGTTGGGGATAATCAGTTTGAAGTTGTTAGGAACTAAGATTAAGAAACTGTCAAGAAAAACTAACTGAAACCACAAGCTTGTTCCTGCACTTAAAAATAAACTTGATTATTTGTTTATGTTAACAACTGTCTGGACTCCGTGTGTCCCTGTAAGAAATGGGGTGGTGGCAGCGGAAAAAGCAATCACAGTGGTGGCACAGGGTCAATAGACCGTCAAACGTCCGGGGGCCCTGTGTGATCTACAGCGGTTTTTAAAGATTTGACCAAATGAGACCCGGCAACAAAATGTTGCGGTATGGCGATTGCAGCCACTCTGTTTCATTCCCCCCTCTCCTCATTCCAACACTAACAACCTCCGAAGGGCCAGGAATTCCCCATCTCTGGAGTATGCTGGCATCTGGTGATGCTGGCAGACGACATGTTCAGAGTGTGCTTTTTGTGAGCAAAGATTTATGTTCCTGCTATGAAAAGTGAGCACTTTCATCCCATTTCATAGACACACACAACCCAACTGTTCCCAATGCAGTGGGCATATTTTGTGGGGGGTGAAGTGTTTTGTGAAACTGTCTCCCTCCCACCCCATTCCACCCAGCCCTAAATGCCCCTGTCCTTATTCAACACTCTTGCATGTGCTCAAATTTATTAAGTTTTGAAACGATTCCGTTGTATGCTTGAGAGCTGGGCACAAGCTCCCCCTTGTGAGCAAACAGGCATATTTGCAGCTGCGTATGGGTTTACCTCTGCAATCAACGGGGTTTTTCCTGTCACCGTCTACAAAAAACTTCAGGGTCGGATATTCCAAGATGCCGAATTCCTTTTTTAAGTCTTTCTGATCGGTCACATCCACTTTGCCAAATCGGATATCCACAGATTCCTTCTTCAACTGTTCTGCAGCTTTGGCAAACTCTGCAGCCAAGCTCTGAGAAGGTCCAGATAACGGGATGTCTGGGAAAAACCAAGACAAAGAAAAGCAGTTGCTTATCCACATTGGCTAGGATGCCCCTTACACAGAAGAACATAAGAACAACGGCTTGTCTAGTCCAGCTTCCTGTTCTCACAACAGCCAACCACATGCCCGTAGGAAGCCCATAATCAGCATCACCACCAGGCCAGATTTAGGTTTGATGAGGCCCTAAGCTACTGAAGGTAATGGGGCCCTTTATATGCCCGACTGTCCTTTGTCAACAACAAGTTGTTGCTGTTTTTTGTGTTGAATATATGCTATTTGGTAATTTATGGACCTAATAGGTAACTAAAGCCATTTGCACGTAACAAAATATGTATTTTATCAAAGTAATTGTTGAACTGAAATACAATTAAGAAGAAGTATATTAAAAATGAGCAAACCAGTGATATTTTAGGGAGCAGGCTAGTAGGCGGGGCCCATTACTTACATCATAGGAGCCTACACAACACAAAACACTGTTGTTGTATGTAGGTTTTATTTTTTTGTTTTTTATCTTATATTTTGGAAATGTACACCCAGATTTTTTTTCCCTCTAAATTTTTTTGGGGCCCCCAAGAGTGTGGGGCCCTAAGCTATAGCTTGTTTTGATTATACGTAAATCCTACACTGATCACCACAGAAGAGAATGGGTTTCTGTACAAGTTGCATATGCTAATGTATATTTATAGATGCAAATTTAGAAAGAACTATGCAAATGTAAACAGAATTACAGTACATCTTCATAGTGGGAAGAACTGTGACCAGGTGAAGAGTGTGTTTTTGCTATTTCTTTATTTCATTTACTTAGCAAGATTTATATACCGCTTAATCAAATAATAATAATCTCTAAGCAGTTTATATATTATATTGTGAACTGCCTTGAGCTCTACAGATGTAGGGCTGTGTACAAATTTCAACGATAATAAATGCATTAATAAAACAATGCAAAATATTCATTGACGATAGTAATAAAGCTTTAAAAGCAGTAGATGTATTAAACGTATCACAGATAACATCAACATTAAAAAAATGTACACAATAAAATCAGGTGTCTGGGTAGGTTTGCCTTTAAAAAGTTTTTAGTGGCTATCGAAAACAGTGCAATGAAGGCTCTGCCTAATATCAGAAGGCAGGGAGTTCCAGAGGAAAGGAGCTGCAGAACTAAAAGACTGATCTCCCACAAATACAACACAAACATTACATGGCATGTAGCTAAGGATTACATGCAGTAGCTAAGGATGGGAAACTTCTGTGATGCAACAAGACTTCAATTACTATGTACTGTAGCAGGGATGTTCCAATGAAATTGATTGTTGGGAGATTCAGGACAGACAAAAGGAAATGCTTTTTCATAGGAAGTTAACCTATGGAAATCCCTCCCACAAGGAGTAGGGATGGCCAGTGGCGTAGTGTGGGGGGTGCAGGGGGGGCCGGCCGCACCGGGCGCAACATCTGGGGGGCGCGCGCTCGCACTCGCAGCTCTCTGCCCCTACCTGGCTCACTCACTCTCTCTCACTGCAGTGCTGGCTGTGCGAATCCGATCCAAGCCGCTGGGTCGCTGCCCACTGTGGAGGGGGTGGGTGCCAGGCGTGTGGTGCGGAGAGAGAGCGAGGGGCTATCTGGGGGAGGGACAGTGCAGCGGCCGCCCAGCGCAGCGCTGAGCGCGGGAGAGAACCACACCAGACCAGGCAGCAGCAAGAAGAAGCTGGCAGTGGCGGCAGGTTAGGGGTTAGGGGGCGCAAATTGCTTGCCTTGCCCCGGGTTAGGGGGGCGCAAATTACTTGCCTTGCCCCGGGTGCTGACAACCCACGCTACGCCGCTGGGGATGGCCACTAATCTGGATGGCTTTGAAGAGGATTAGGCAAATTCGCGGGCAACAAAGCTATAAGATCCAGAATTGCTTACTTGTATCAGGTTATCCAACCATTACAAAATGAATGAAAGTAACACAAAGCAACATCCACAGAGGTTTAGCTCAGGCCCAAATAAAGTACAACGTAAAACGAGCTTTAAAATTCCAAATTTTCCCTGGCAGATCACAGCATGCCCTTTTGGCGAGGAAAGGTTTGGCTAGTAGTAGTCACAATGACAAGATTACCTCCAGTTCAAGAGCCAGAGTGATTCTGTTACCCTACAAAGGGGGTCTGGAAATGACACTGGTCCTCTTTAGCCAAATAAAGACAGCAGCGTCATGGAAAGAGTTCAGATTTATTGCAGACTAGAATCATAGAATCATAGAGTTGGAATAGACCACAAGGGCCATCGAGTCCAACCCCCTGCCAAGCAGGAAACACCATCAGAGCACTCCTGACATATGGTTGTCAAGCCTGATACGGTAAACGGGGGGGGGGGTCCACCCTCCCACGTCCGAAACGATGACCTCAAGAGCGCCCACTACACTATGCACCCCTTCCCCAGCCTCTTCACTGTCGCACAAGCACCACACACAACCCTTTTCCCCTTTTCCACGGGCGAAATAAGCCCAAAACTCCCAAGCCCCTATCCCTTCTCTCGCTCCATCTTTATTATGAGTCGACCGTGTCAAAATACATCCCCGTTTGTTCCAATGGCCGCGTCTTGACCAATCAGGTACGTGCATCTGCTCTGCAGAACCAGCTCAGCGAGCCTCTGCACGCCTCATTTAACCTCTTGACAAGCTGCTGACAGCTCCCGCTGAGAGAACAATGGAATCGAAACTCGTAACCTCGTAAAACTGTCAAACCTTGTTACAATGTATCCAGTTTAGCTCGTAAAACTGTCAAATGTATCTAGTTTGTTTCCGTTTTCTATTATTATTGTAAGAATGGACGAAATAGACTGAAAACTTCTTAAATTCATATAAAATCAACCCCTTCTCCGATTTCCTTGGTTCTGGTGTCAATCGACTCAGCCTTTCCAGGACTCCATAATCCCTCGAGCGAGGAGTCACGTACTCAGGAAGACCTTAATCTGGTCAGATCACCTCGCCCAGCCCTACCTCCGGGCAATACCAGGTGGCAGACTTTACATATTCGGACCATTGTCTTCTCATCACCGGTACTCAGGAAGTGCTTATCTATGCATATCTTCAGCTCTGCATATTCCCTCCTCCCTGTCCTCTATGCTAATCCGTGTAACCCAACCTCTCTGTGATATCACCCATGTAACCCAACCTCTTTGTAATGTATTCATGACGCGTTTCGCACTGTATTATGGGACATGGAGGAAGTTTCAAAACTCCTGTCACCCCTTACTCGGGGTTCAATTTCATCTTGAACCTGTTGCGCAATAAACTTGGATTTCCTGGAACTTGCTCCCGTCTCCGGCTGAGCTCATTTTCTCCCGCAGGGACCCGCGGACTCAGTCCGACGAGCTGGGTGGCAGAGTAACCCCGCACCCAGATTTTACCGTAACAAGCCTCTGCTTAAAGACCTCCAAAGAAGGAGACTCCACCACACTCCTTGGCATAAATTCCACTGTCGAACAGCTCTTACTGTCAGGAAGTTCTTCCTAATGTTTAGGTGGAATCTTCTTTCTTGTAGTTTGGATCCATTGCTCCGTGTCTGCTTCTCTGGAGCAGCAGAAAACAACCTTTCTCCCTCCTGTATATGACATCCTTTTATATATTTGAACATGGCTATCATATCACCCCTTAACCTCCTCTTCTCCAGGCTAAACATGCCCAGCTCCCTTAGCCGTTCCTCATAAGGCATCGTTTCCAGGCCTTTGACCATTTTGGTTGCCCTCCTCTGGACACGTTCCAATAAGACTACAATAAGAATAAATGATCTAGAGGAATTCTCCAAATTCTGGATGCCGGATACAAAATTCAAGGCACTTTTAAAACATTCTCTTTACATGATTAGCCCATGAGCGATCCCTTTCAGCAATATGATTGGATAACAGACCCCTAAAACTAATTTCATTGGTCAGAGCAGCTTGCTCCTAATTACTATGGCAATAGGTATCTTTAATTTAGTCTTAGAGTTTGAAAAAACCCAAGGGGCATCTAGTCCAACCCCATGCAATGCAGAAATCTCAGCTGAAGCATCCACAACAGATGGCCATCTGCTTAAAAACCTTCACAGAAGGAGAGTCCACAGCTTCCCAAGAGAGACTGTTCCTCTGTCTAACAGCTCTTACTGTTAAAGTTTTACTAATCAAAGCTTATAAATTCACTATTCTTCTGTCCCATACAAAATGTTGCTTTTCTGCTATCTCTTACATGAAGACTTGTCTGGATCAGGAAAATTTATTGTTGTCCTGGCTTTGAAGTTGAAGGCCAGTTTCATTCTGCTATGCAGAGCTGATAAGAGAGGCCCTGACTGTTAGCGAAAACACAAAAATGCATCTTCTATTTGCAGGGGGGGGGTACAAGGAGAAAATGCTTAAACTTCCAACTCTGTGATTCTGACTCAACAGTGTGAAAACATAAAGGGGCCTCAATCCTTAATTGACTCAGTTGACAGAGATGATCTGATTGATACTGGACATCTCTGGCTTTGGGATTTAACGAATGTTACATCAAGTGTGTAAAACAAATGCATTAAAAATCTCTGTTTAGCTAGGTATCTGCTTTTTGTTAAAACTAAATAGCAAGCTGTCAGAGATTCAAGGCCAAGGCAGCACTGAATTCCTTGCAAAATAAGCAGGCAGGGGAGAGATGGCTTTCTTACCAACACATTTCCAGTACAGGGCAGTGGCAAAGATATGTTGTGGTTGTGACGGTAAGAATGTGTTCATGCACGTAGCAGGCCGTGCTCAGTTGTGTATCAGAAACATGTTCTGTGACAGAGGATGTAATTGCATAGGGGTTTGTGCACTGTGGATTCTGACATACAGTGGACACTTGGGTTGCGAACGTGATCCATGCAAGATGCAAGTTCGCAACCCACAGTGTTCACAACCCGCGTCTGCGCATGCACGGGTTGCTATTTGGCGCTTCTGCGCATGTGCAAAGCGTGATTTAGCGCTTTTGTGCATGCGTGACCGCCGAAACCCAGAAGTAACCCATTCCGGTACTTCCAGGTTTCGGCGGTCTGTAACCTGAAAAAACGCAACCTGAAGTGGCTGTAACCCAAGGTATGACTGTACTTCCTGGCCCACAACACCCACCTGGGTCCCAGGTGAGGACACCCAGGCATCAACTCTGTATTCCAGTTCTTGGGTTGATGAACAGGAGAGAGCGAATGCTGGACTCAGATGCAGAGGAGTTCTGTTAACCACAGAGCCCCTCCTCTCCTCTTTAAACCGACCTTGAGAGGAGACAGCCATTAAAATAAAAGACCCCTTCCAACCAAGCCCCTCTAGATTTTACTGGCCTCCAGTTCCCATTAGCCCAGCCAGCATGACCAATGGTCACAGCATCCTCTGCAACAGCGGGGGAGAAGGCTGAGGTAGCATAGAAAGTTATGGCTCATTACAGCCATCTGAATGCAGAAATAAATAACTTTCCTGTATTTATTCCTCAAGACACCGTATTATGTAACCGTCCCATCCAAAACCAGCATGGGACAGTCACTTTCATTAGACTTTTGATAAACGGCTAGAAGGTTTTAATCTGTTCATCTTAACTTGCCGATCAGTTGCAAATCCCCGAAACATTTATTTTCATCATAATTACCAGGAGACCTCCATTAATCATCCTCTAGCCTGCCACAGCCATCAGCCGCCTTGAAATAATACCCAGCAGCCTCCTTGGAACATTAATTATTTCATCTAATGTCTTCTATGGCATTCGATAGAGAAGAGAACTCAAACAGAAGACTTTTGATCCTTGCCTGTTAGGCTTTTATGTAACCACATTTGGGAATGGGGATATTCAAGAATCATGGATCTTAGGGCAATTTGTGAGTGGAGTCCCAACCAGGGCAGCCCAATCTATTTTGCCCAATCTATTTTGCTTCTTAGGGCGAATGGCAACATGCAGAAGCTGGCATGAATAGCAGTTGGCTCCCACTTTGACACAGAGTCAGTGTGATGTGGCATTTAGAGCAGAGTTTCCCAAATTGGGGTCTCCAGTTGTTTTGGGACTACAACTCCCATCATTCCTAGCTAGCAGGACCAGCGGTCAGGGATGATGGAAACTGTAGTCCAAAAACAGCTGGAGACCCAAGTTTGGGAAATCCTCAGATGCTCCCATAATGGCTAAGGTGACGAGCCAAGTTCATGATCAGACTTTGGAGAAGGCGGAAAAGGGGTTGTACTTGTGCCTGGAAGATATGAATGGCCAAGGCGTTCCCATCGATGGCAACATGATGTGAGAAAAAGCTCTTGACCTGTATGTTCTGTTCAAACCTCTTATCAAAGAGGGGAGGCCGTGTGATGAGAAGGAGTTCAAAGCCAGCCAAGGCTGGCTCAACAGCTTCAACCTGAAAAACGGGCACAGCCCTGGTGAGGCTGCGCCCGCCAATAAACAATGGGCAAAACCCTACTCCAAACAGTTAAAGAAACTGATAGAAGAAAAGGGATATCTCCCCGAACTGGCGAGATGGGGCTCTTCTGGAAGAAAATGCCCAGCCGCACGTACATTTCGAAAGTAGAAAGACAGGTGGCCCAAGACCATGTGATGTTGTTTTGTTGCAACGTGGCCGGGCATTTAACAAAGCCCGGCTTGCTCTGTGGGTCTGCAGATCCTCATGCCCTAAAAGGCAAGGGCAAACACCTCCTGCCTGTGTTCTGGTAATCGAGCAAAAAGGCTTGGGTGATGGCAGCAATATTCCTGGATTGGTTCCACCGATGCTTCATTCCAGAGGTCAAGCAGTACCTCGAAGAGAAAGGAATCGACTTTAAGGTGTTGCTGATTGTTGATGATGCTCCCGGCCACCCCGAGGGAGTCCGGTTTGCTCATAACAACGTTGAAGTTGTCTTGCTGCCCCATAGTGCCACCTCCGTCATCCAGCCTCTCCACCAAGGCGTAGCTCGCTGCCTCAAGGCCAAGTACATGAGTCTTATGTTCCTGCGGGTCTGCAATGCTATGGACGCTGATCCCAGCCTCAACGCGGCTGAGCGTTGGAAATCTTTCAACGTACCCGACTGCATAAGGGAATGCGGCTGTAAGTTTAATGTGTTGAACCTATGGTCAGAGAGACCCAGGTTCAGATCACCCACTCAGCCATGAGACTCACTGGGTGGCCTTGGGCCAGTCACTAATCTCTCAACCTAACCTACCTCACAGGGTCGTTGTGAGGATAACACCAGGGGAAGAACCATGTATGCTGCTCTGAGAGCCCTGCAGGTAGGGTTGGATCAAAATATAATAATAATAATAATAATAATAATAATAATAATAATAATAATTCCTAAGCATATAATTCAGCGGGGTAAAGTGGTGCATCATTAGGAAACAATATGGATGGGGAACTTTTTCAGCCTGAGGGCCACATTTCCTCATTCCGGTGGCCACATACTTGTGGTGGCCATGGGAAAAATCGGTGTAGTCAGACATGCACAACTTTCCAACCTCTATCCAGGCAAGCAAGAGGTTTTATCACCATTTGAGGACACATACCAGCCTAGCGAAATCACTGGATCAGGGCACATAGCTAAGCCAGTGAAGGGCGTGGCCCCTGGGGCGTGGTCTGGACAGAGTCTTAAGGGCCTGATAGAGGGCTGCATTCAGACCTTTGGCCCGAGGTTCCCTGCCCCGTCACATGATGAAAGCTTATCTTGCTGCACCCTGAGCTCCTTGAGGAATAAATAAACTAATGATAATAATAAACTAATAATAATAATAGCTGCTGCTGCTGCTTTGGGGGTCTCCAATGCAGAGGGGAAGCAGTTTCTAAGCAGTGGAGGCTGACCTATTCAGGCAAATTTTGCACGGCCCCATCAATCTCAGACTGCCTTCGGCCAACCCCTACATGCCATTTTTCTTACTGACTTCTTGCTTGTCATTGCCTCGGCCTCCACCCACTGCTGGTCTTCCAGTCTTCTGCCTTACCAGTCTCGATAGACAGCAGCCACCACTAACGATAAGTAAAGAAAGGAAGGAATGGGGTACCCCTCACTACACACAGCAGATGTGAGCATCGAGGGCACCGCTCCAAGCCAAGGCTGGACTTTGTCCCACCACTGCTGCACAGATTGTATGACAGTCGGGCCAGGCAATTCAGGCTACAGCTGCGAGCAAGCTTTCACTTTTGCCTGAAAACAACAACCCAGGCACGGGACACAGAAAAGGATCTGCAGAGGGGAACCAGGGACGCAGCAGTCATAGCGAGACAGTCAAGACATCCACCCACTCCGCAACTCCTGAGGACTGGTGAGTACTAAAAAGGCTTAAATATTTTAGAGGAGGGGTTGGGGCACTCTGTTTTTGCCTGCCCTGTGAACAAATGTCCGTATCCAACTCTAGTCCTACTCAGGGGAGAAATTAATGGATGTGATCAGTGCTTCTTCTTTTGAAGAAAAGGTGCCGGCATTCACCATGAAGTTGTGATGTAAGTCCCACACTTTTAACATTTGGTGGGAGGGAAAGTTGCCAGTACTGTGTACCCAGGAAAAAAAGCACTGGAACTTAGGGACATTGATTCTAATGGGTTTACTCTGAGTAGAACTTTGGTAGATACAAGCCAAAGTTTTGTGTGTGTGTGTGTGTGTGTGTGTGTGTGTGTGTGTGTGCTGACAACCAGCCCTCACTCTCAAATTACAAAAAAAATAAAAATAAAAATGCAGACAGCTGTTGGCACTGTGCAATATGCTATTTTGGGGGTTTGCTCAGTGCCCATCAGTGCTTCTGTTATAGGGAAAGGGTCACAGCACAGGGGTAGGTAGGGAGCTTGCAGAAAGTCCCTAGATGACCCCTGGAAATGGAGGGAATGGGGAGAGTCCTTCCCCACCCCATTCTAGATAACAAATTTTTGATCCTCCAGAGTGTCATAATTCTAATGAACATACTTTTCTTTGTCGGAAGAAAAAATATGCATCCCCCCCACTGTTACATAAGAAGGTCAAAGAGTAAGCTGCATGAATAAGCCTCTTCCAAGAAATTCAGTGACTCACACACAATAACACATTTTACATTCAAAATGTGTGTCTCCCCCCTCCACCGCATAGAAAACACACAATACCATATTCACCTCCTATATCTTTGTTTATTTTTTGTAAGAAAGGCATGTATGACTGGTCTCCAGGGAGAGGAAAGAAATTCAGTTCTGTTCAAATTGTAACGTGAATCTACCACTTTCCAAAGCAATATGCAAACCAAAACACAATTATCCTTTAAAATTCGCACTTCGTGTTTTTCGATGCTGTTTTCCGAGCCAAGCAATGTGCATAGAAATGCATATATTCATGAAAACAACGTATTAAAATGCATTATATCAGTGGAAATTACTTGCATTTTTTTTTACTTCTGGAAAAACTGCATTCAGAACTCTGTATATTAGGGAGGAAATGTTCTGAAATGCTAATGGGAATCCATGAAGACTTAAAATAATAATAATCACAAACCTAGAAATATGGAGAACTGGAAAAAAGGGAAACAGAAAAAACCAAAAACAGAATCGACAAGTTCACTTGCTGCCCCAAAGTCCCATTTTCAAAACTTCAAACAGAATTCTTCTGTATATACAGAAGAATAAATATACAGAATACATATACATATACATAATTCTTCTGTATATGTTTTAGCAAAACATATATCCACAAAATCGTTCTGCGCTAATAATGGATGTTCATTATTTGCATTGATTTTTCAGTTTGCTAAAAAGTTAATAAGTGACTACAACTATTGCTAGATCAAAGCCAAAATCAACCTTGGCATATTTTTATACCAGTGGACTAAACTGAAAAGTCAACAGCAGGAACACACCATGAGCTGGTATACATTATGCAGCGAGAAAATAAGGGCACGGCGCCTTGACTTTCTTTCACAGCATCTAGATTCTCATATAATATGCTTCTTCTTTTCTTGAAGCAGATCATTGGCTTCAGTTTCTATATTAGTTAGGAGTGGGGGAGATTTAGAAGTCCTAAATTTGGCTTGGCAAGTGGGCTAGTTGGCCTTTAGATACCCCAGCTCAAAGAGCACATGGAAAGGGTGGAATAAATAAGAGTTGGGGAGACCTTTTCACCCCAAGGGAAGCATTCCTTTCTGGACAACATAGGAAGTAATTCTTGCTGATTCAATTGGACTTATTTTGCTTCTGAGCAGACATTGTAAGGATTGCACAGTTAGTTTAAGGTGCCACGAGGCAAATACGTTGATTTCTGTTTCCCTTGTTTTCTCATTTTTCCATTCTTAAGTTTGCTTCACATTTCCACATCGGTGTGTGTGTGATATTTATGAAAATTCACTAGCATTTTAGTGCTAATTTCTCCTTATACACAATTTTGCCTAATATCTACATTTTTGTAGAGTGACTTCCCCTAATATCACACATTTTTGCATGTTGTTAGCATGAATGTAAGCATCTTTAGGTACACTTTGCACTAATATATGCTCTTGTATATATGAGTTGCCTGACGAACTGTGCCACAAAATTCAGAAAAGTGCAAATTTCGCACGATGGCTGTGTTTCGGTTCTTGTACTCCCCTCCCCCCGAAAGTACAAATTAGGCAGATTCACCTTTAAATGAGAGCTGAATAAAATTTTCCCTACATCCCCGGCACTGTTAGACGTTCAGGTTTAAAGTGCCCATTTTGTGAAGATTAGCTCATCAGCCAGTGTGGCCTAGTGGTTAGACTGAGGTTCAAACCCCCGCTCATCCATGAAACTCACTGACTGACCTTGGGCCAGTCACAGTCTATCAGCCTAACCTACCTCACAGGGGTGTTGTGAGGCCAAAATGGAGAGGAACAGAACCACGTATGGCACCTTGAGCTCCTTGGAGGAAAGAGGAAATAGAAATGTAGTGATGATAGATAGAAGATAGATAGATAGATAGATAGATGATAGATAGATAGATAGATAGATAGATAGATAGATAGATGATAGATAGATAGATAGATAGATAGATAGATAGATAGATGATAGATAGATAGATAGATAGATAGATAGATAGATAGATGATAGAGATAGATAGATGATAGATAGATGATAGATAGATAGATAGATAGATAGATAGATAGATAGATAGATAGTAATATCTCTTTTGGAAGAAGAAGTACTTACAGAACTCCACCAGCAGGTACTGTGTTCCATTCAGAGCCCTGTCAAAGTTGCTCTTTTTCAGGACCAGAACATTGTCCTCCTCCTTGATTTGGGACAGTTTGGCTTTCTTTGGTTTCTTCTCTGATGGGCCAATGCCACCTTCTGCAGTAGAAAGAGGAAGGCACGTTAAACCTGTCAGGACAAGCAGCCACAGAGCTCTCATTCTGGCCTTCCAGGATGTTGCAGACACCATGGAAGAGGAGAAAGGGGACCTAGCCTGGGTCTGCTCTGGTTAAAAATGTCCATGGCCTTATCAGCAGGCCACGTGGCTTAATTCCCACACAATTAGAGATAGGGGACAGGGCTCGCTGCAAAGAGAATAGAGTCTGCTCCCTCTTTGAATTGTTAAAGCTGCTAACACTTTAGGAACCTAGGGTCAGGGGCGGAGGAAGGGGGTGTGGTGGGGGTGGTATGCCCCGGGTGTCACCACTGAGGGGGGTGACAAAATGCCTGGTGGCGCTCACCACGGGGCTTGCAGCACGCCCGAGCCACGCGTCTTTCCTGGGAGTGACAGGGTGGCTTGGGTGCCAGGCAGACTCCTCGCTGCCCCAAATGGTCCACTAGCCGCCCCCCCCAGCTGTCAGGTAGATGAGTGGGAGGAGGCAGGCAGACTCCTCAGGGGCCTCGCGGAGCTTCCTACCCCGGCTGGCCCCACCCCACTGGTGGCTGGCCCCGCCCCTGGGCGCAGGGCACGCACACTGCCACAGGCGCCTGATTGGCTTGCTCCGCCACTGCCTGGGATGCTCCGCTTATACCAAGTCATAGCACTGGTCCATCTTACTTATTAGCTCAACGAGTTTAAAGTCTGCTTCAGTAGCATAAAACCAACCATGTGGTGCACAGGTGAAAGAAAAATACAGCGCAGAAACACTCTGAGAACAATAGATCAAATTGACAAACTCTAAAACAACAAAACCACCCGAAACAGGTTTAAGCATTTTGTCAAATTGAAAACTGATCTTCCATAAATGGCTGCCACACGTGATTACAGAAATCAGCATGCTCACAGGTAAAAATGAAATCCTGGGTCCTAGATGACATATTTTGCCTGTTTTTGACAAAGGTAAAGCAGATCTTCTTCATTTACCTTCTGGTAGCTGTTCAGTTAGTATCCACTCAAGACTGGAGAGACTCTTCATGCGATGCGCTAGGCAGTGCTTTTTTTCCTTTAAAAAATGTTTAGGGGTACTCTCATTTTGACTCAAGAAAACCACCATTTTATAGTTCAAATCAGGAAAAGTAAAGGGACAAAAGTACAAAATTCACAAAATGTTTAGGAGTATGCGTACCCCTGCGTCCCCCCAGGGAAAAAAGCACTGGCCCTAGGTAACTGGTTCAAGGAAGTTATGTTCATTGCTGTGTCAAAGAAATTGACACGTGATGGTGATCATTCTGATTTCACCTCTATTCAGGGGTTATTTATTAAATATAGGACATCACAAATTTCATTGCAGTCATACCTCATGTTACGTCCGCTTCGTGTTACGTTCTTTCAGGTTACGTCCCGTGGTGACCCAGAAGTACCGGAAAGGGTTACTTCCTGGTTTCGCCGTTCGCACATGCACAAAAGCGCAAAATGACGTCACGCACATGCACAGAAGCAGTGAATCGCAACCTGCGCATGCGCAGACGTGCCACTGCGGGTTGCACTCTTTTCATGTTGCGAATGGGCCTCCGGAACGGATCCCATTTGCAACCAGAGGTACCACTGTACAATAGTTATCATAGTTAACATATAGGTGGTACATGACACCAGTCAAGCTTGCAAAATTTTACCATTTGCCCGACAATAAATGTTGGAAATGTAATGAGACTGAAGGTACATTCTTTCACCTTTGGTGGACATGCCCAAGGATTAAGACATTCTGGGAGATGATTTATAACGAAATGAAAAAGGTATTTAAATATACCTTCCTGAAGAAACCAGAGGCCTTTCTCCTGGGCATGGTCAGCCAATTGGTGCCAAAGAAGGATAGAACTTTTTTATGTATGCAACAACAGCAGCAAGAATACTTATCGCAAAGTATTGGAAGACACAAGATATACCCAGACAGGTAGCAGCTTTCCAGGGTTTTAGGCAGGGGGCATTCCCAGCCCTACCTGGGCTTTGAAGTTGTCACCTGACACAGTAATGACATCAGATGATTTACAGGTGGGTGGTCCCATCCATTTGTCAAAAATGGTCTGTGACCCGGTTCTTGATCCACCCTGCAAACTGGAAAACATTCCCTACCTAAAGTGCCGTTTTTGTGCTCTCAATGACAAGCAGTCTTTGAAAATGACCCACAATGCACCTTTCCCCCCTGTTATCATTAAGCACACAGAATACTTAATATAATGAGCCTGTGTGCAGCGGCTTCAGGGAAAGATAGGTTCATGCACAAACAGCCTTGCAGAACAAAAACCGGGAGCTTAATGAGAACGGCAATACCCCACTACCAAAAGGGGGGGGGAGAGAAATAAGCTGGTGTGACAAGCCCTGCCCCCAATTCTATTTAAAAAGATTGTTATAGGCCTAGAAGAAGCTTTTGCAAAAAAACCCCAAAAACCTTGTACTCATCACAAGTGAGCATATTCCTTTAGTATTTCTTTATTGGATTCATGTCCCACGTTTGTCTCCAAGGAACTCAAGGTAGCAAACAAGAGTCCCCCCCTTATTTAATCCCACAACGACCCTGTGAGGTAGGCTAGGCCAAGAGGCAGTGAGTGACCCAAAGTCACCCAGTGAATTTCATGGCCAAGTGGGGATTTGAACTCTGGTCTCTCAGGTGGAGCTGACTTCTCTGCAGGGACAGTAGAATGTAAGAATATCCCCAGTGTAGTAAGTAGAATGAAAGAGATACTGGAAGGGTGTGGTCTCTCTGACCTTCCATAACCGACCACTTCATTTTCCAACACTGTATAGCTAATAATAATAATAATAATAATAATAATAATAATAATTTATTATTTATACTCCACCCATCTGGTTGAATATTAAAAACACGATAAAACATCAAACATTAAAAACTTCCCTAAACAGGGTTGCCTTCAGATGTCTTCTATAAGTCAGATAGTTGTTTATCTCCTTGACATCTGTTGGGAGGGCGGGCGCCACTACCGAGAAGGCCCTCAGCCTGGTTCCCTGTAACTTGACTTCTCGCAGTGAGGGAACTGCCAGAAGGCCCTCGGAGCTGGACCTCAGTATCTGGGCTGAACGATGGGGTGGAGATGTTCCTTCAGGTATACTGGGCCAAGGCTGTTTAGGGCTTTAAAGGTCAGCACCAACACTTTGAATTGTGCTCGGAAATGTACTGGGAGCCAATGTAGGTTTTTCAGGACATGTGTTATATGGTCTCGGTGGCCACTCCCAGTCACCAGTCTAGCTGCCACATTCTGGATTAATTGTAGTTTCCGGGTCACCTTCAAAGTGCTCTCACCCAAGTTGCTCACAACCTCCCTGATCTCCTGGATTCAAGATCTTTACCTCACCCAAGTTGCTCACAACCTCCCTGATCTCCTGGATTCAAGATCTTTACCTCAAACAAGAAGAAACAAGCAAAAACTGGAGAAGCCAACATCACACATTTCCCCTGTATGCTTTTGAGTGATTCTGTGGAAACAGTCAACCTCTAGTGTGTAGTCAGAAATATTCTGCAAGTCAGTCTATTGGCACATCTAACAAATATTGTTAGATTGGCACATCTAACACAATACTGACTTGGTATAATGTATTTTACAATGTTCCTAATGTATCAGATGTTTCTGTTAACTGCAAAAGTTTTTTTTCAGAAAAACATTTCTGCTTTTACAACACGTCATTGCAGAAAAATCCAACTAAGTTGTTGTTCTCAAGCTGCCTTTTGCTCTGGTGCCATGAAGACCTTGTTTAAATGCTTCTGGAATCTGCGGCCACCTCACAATTTGCTCCATCAAGTCAAAAGACACCTTGCCTCTCCAATCACCTCACACTATGAAGCTATAAACCGGTGTGAACAGGAAGTGCCCAAGTACTTCAATTTTGCTAGTGATGTTCTGGACAGGTGGACCCAAGTGGAAAAGGTATGAATCTGTCTGCTTTAGGAAGACATTCATGGCTGGCAGGAAAACAGGATATTGATGCTACTATAGGTATGCTTTTATGATCTCCGTGGAGTACAGGGGACCTGTGGCTTTGTTCAGTTACGTGTTCCCCAAACTAAGAGACTGAAGGAAGTCTTGGATTTGGTCACAAAGGTTATCTAACTCTAGTCATTGGTAGGTTTCTGATCCATGATTTCTGTAAGCTCCCTTTATTTGCCTTGAGTTACCTGGGCTGACTATGGAGCTAATTCAGTTGTAGACAGGTATTGATGAATCAACCAGTTTTGATGTCTCTGACTTCCTTATTTTTCCAATTTTAAATTTCCACATTCTTGCAACAATTTGTGATTGTTTTAATCCGCACGAAAATTCATCAGCATAAGCCTGCGAATTTCTCCTAGCAGTGTTTTTTGTGGGGTGCATACTGGAAAGCTCTTTTACCTAATGTAATGCATGTTGGTATGTTTATGAACGAATGCATTCTTTGTGCATAATTTCCCTTAATATATGTTTTTTTGTACCGTTTGGTTGGAGAACTGCATCACAAACTTCGGAGAGATGCAAATTTCAAAGGATAACCATGTTTCAGTTCACATTTTGGTTCAAAAAGTCCAAATTAGGTATTTTCTCATTATAATGCAAACAGAAGTGAATTCCCCCTCCCATTCATTGTGGCAGACCACATGCTTTGCATGCCTGAGGTCCCAGGTTGGGAATGACCTCTGACCTAGGAATGATCGCTGTCTGAAACCCAGGAGAGCTGTTGCCATTCATTGCAGAGATTTGTTTCATAACTTCCCCCTCGACGTCAGGAATAGTTTTAGCAACTCCTCGTAGCAACTTCACCGATGAAAGGAAAGCTGCAGGCGGTAAATGGGGGAGAACAAAGACAGGAACCTTTCCTCTCTTGTTGCAAACGCCGTCACTGGCAAGACCAGGCATAGGCAAACTCCGGCCCTCCAGATGTTTGGGACTACAATTCCCGTCATCCCTGACCACTGGTCCTGTTAGCTAGGGGTAATGGGAGTTGTAGTCCCAAACATCTGGAGGGCCGGCGTTTGCCTATGCCTGGGCAAGACGTTACCTTTTCCTCTCAACCAGAAGAAGCAGAGACAGAAGCAGAAACTCTAGGCAGTTCAGCAACTAACTGGAGAGTATCCCGTCCAGCAATTAAATCAAAAAGATACAAACAAACAAAACGCCAAGTGAAGGGCGACTCCCAACACACATGCAGGCTCACCGCAGCCAAAACAGATGATAAGATTTAAAAAGTTATTGATAAAAAACAACAACGGTACACGGGTGGCGCTGTGGGTTAAACCACTGAGCCTAGGGCTTGCCGATCAGAAGGTCGGCAGTTCGAATCCCCGCGATGGGGTGAGCTCCCGTTGCTCGGTCCCTGCTCCTGCCAACCTAGCAGTTCGAAAGCACGTCAAAGTGCAAGTAGATAAATAGGTACCACTCCAGCAGGAAGGTAAATGGCGTTTCCATGCGCTGCTCTGGTTCGCCAGAAGCAGCTTAGTCATGCTGGCCACATGACCCGGAAGCTGTATGCCGGCTCCCTCGGCCAATAAAGCAAGATGAGCGCCGCAACCCCAGAGTCGGCCACGACTGGACCTAATGGTCAGGGGTCCCTTTACCTTTACCTAAAAAACAACAACATGCAGTTGCTTACAGTAATACAACCAAATAAAAGAAAGAAATGGTTTTGGAACAATTAGGACTTCAAAAGGTCTTTAAAACGATAAAAACTTGAGCAAGCTGCGGAGCTAAAAACAAACGGTGCTCACCCGAAAGGACCCCTCAGGGATGAGCCACACCAATTCATTGTAGACAATACCAAGCTAGATGGGCCCATGAGTTGACTCAGTATAAGACAGCTCCCTATGATGACTGCTTCCAAGGCAAGTCTATTCCTAGAGTACTCCTGCCTGCTCTTTCATTCCCTTACCTTTCCCTGTTGGTCATAAAATCCTATCTGATTGGTGCATGTGCTTGGCCCTGTGGATTAGGCATCATTTTTAGTTGTCTTTCATCTTATTATAGCTTTTTGGGTTGTCTGTTAGGAGGGAAAGAGATCTCCATACCCAGCCTTCTGGTGGGTGGACGACCAGAGCAAAGAGGTGAAGTGGAGCTTTGAGGAACTGGGAGTCTTATCCCGGAAAGCTGCCAACATGCTCCTTGGTCCATGCGGCTTGCAAAGAGGTGACCGGATCATGACAGTTCTACCCCGGATTCCAGAATGGTGGCTACTAAGCGTGGCTTGTATGAGGACAGGTTAGTCAATATTATGGGCAAGAAAAGAGTCATTAGTGTTGGGTGGATTTGGAGGGCAGGATAGGATATTGTTTTATTATTTATCCTTCCTCTTATTTGTGTGAGTCCAATGTTTAGTTAGGGACGCGGGTGGCGCTGTGGGTAAAACCTCAGCGCCTAGGACTTGCCGATCGCATGGTCGGCGGTTTGAATCCCCGCGGCGGGGTGAGCTCCCGCCGTTCGGCCCCAGCTCCTGCCCACCTAGCAGTTCGAAAGCACCCCTAAGTGCAAGTAGATAAATAGGTACCGCTTTATAGCGGGAAGGTAAACGGCGTTTCCGTGTGCTGCTCTGCTGCCGGCTCGCCAGGGCAACTTCGTCACACTGGCCACGTGACCCGGAAGTGTCTGCGGACAGCGCTGGCTCCCGGCCTCTAGAGTGAGATGAGCGCACAACCCTAGAGTCTGTCAAGACTGGCCCGTACGGGCAGGGGTACCTTTACCTTTACCTTTAATGTTTAGTTAGCAGAGCTTAAAATTTAGCATCCCTTTGCAGCATCAAATGTAGAAATTTCTGGGACAAAGGTTGCTTAACCTTATTAGTAATTATCCAGGATGCTTTAGCAGACTAGATCTTCCCATTTTATCCCTTTCATTTGGTTTAAATGTAATGTAATGTAAGAATAAAATTACTGTTCACTTACATAAAGCTTCAGACTTGATTCAGCGGTAAGCAGCAGTGAAAAACAAACAAGGCAGAATATACAGTGGTACCTCAGGTTAAGTACTTAATTTGTTCTGGAAGTCCGTTCTTAACCTGAAACTGTTCTTAACCTGAAGCACCACTTTAGCTAATGGGGCCTCCTGCTGCTGCCGTGCTGCTGGAGCACGATTTCTGTTCTCATCCTGAAGCAAAGTTCTTAACCTGAAGCACTATTTCTGGGTTAGCGGAGTCTGTAAGCTGAAGCGTATGTAACCTGCGGTACCACTGTACTTCTAATTTACAAAATACATGGTTGAAATAAAAAATGGGGTCTAGTAACATCCTTTCTCTGTTGGCTACATGGTGAAGAAAGAAAACTGAGCTCTGAGCAGGAAGGAATAATAATAATAATTTATTATTTCTACCCCGCCCATCTGGCTGGGTTTCCCCAGCCACTCGGGGCGGCTTCCAACAGAAGGTTAAAAATACATTTAAGGAAGTAGTAACGATTATTTTCCTATGTTTACTTTTCCTGCCAGGGCAAGCAAAGGATGTGACCTCACAGAGCCCCATCTCTAGGAATTTACAGGAGAAACTCCATGTGTCTTAACCCTTTGCTTATCTAGCAACATATGAAATTTTATTTCGGCTGCGACATTATTTCCCAGAATAAGAACATAAGATGAGTCTGCTAGATCAGGCCAATGGCTCATCCAGATCAGTGTTCTGTTCTCACAGAGGCCACCCAGATCCTTGTGGGAAATCCTTAAGCAAGACCTGAGCACAAGAGCACTCTTCCCTCCTGCTGTTTCCAGCAAGTGGTATTCAGAAGAATTCCTGTCTTTGACTGCAGAGGCAGAGCAGAAGCAGCTCTAGATAAACCTTTTAGAAGAAGGCTTGGAAGGCTTTAAAAGGGACTTAGTCAAACACATGGAGGATAAGGCTATCAATGGCTATTAGCCCTGACGGTTTTGTACTACCTTCAGGTATCAGAGGCAGTATGCCTCTGAATAACTGTGGCTAGGGATCATGTGTGGAAGAGAATTATTACACTCTGTTTATGGGTGTGCTGGGCCCAGGGGTAACCCAAGTAACGCGGTCCAGGTCCAGTCCTGAATCCAAGGATTCCGCGAGGAGTCAGTCCGACAGGACCAAGGCAGGACACGAGGCAGGAAACCAGGCAAGGTCAGGCACAGGATCACAGGCAGGTTCTGGCAAACAGCAATGTTGTTCCCGCAACCCAGGGCGCGGTCCAACAGCCTTTTATCTCTGTCGGGGTAACGGCCGGTCCTGATCTCCCAGTGACTCACCTCCCTGTCTCGCCCGAAGGCGAGCACTCCTCCTGCGAGTACTCAGGTCTCTCCTTCTCTCAGACCTGAGTCTCTGCAGCTCGGGAGATGTCGGTGGGTTACTAGACCCAGAGGCCACCTCAGCCTCTCCTGACCCAACTGGTAGTAGAGCAGCTGCACGTGATTGCCCAGCAGAGGGCAACGAGGTAATCCCCGCATCTGGAGCCAGGGCAGGATCAGGCCCCTGACTCGGCCCAGCTGGTGCTTGTTGCAGGGGAACTTGTGCAGACTGGGGCTCTTCAGAATCAGGCCCCAGACTAGGTTCAGATGCCACCTGAGGCAAAGGATCCGGTGCGGACTGAGACTCCTCTGGCTCCGAGTCCGAGTCTGAGTCCCAGGCCATCACAATGGGCATCCTAGAGACATCTGGTCAGCCACTGTGAAAACAGTATGCTGATCTAGATGGACCTTTGTTCTGACCCAGTAGAGCTCTTCTTTATGTTCTTATGCTACTGATTCATTTATCTGAGGTTCAGCACACCTGCTTTAACCACCGCATTATCCTCGAATGAGATACCACTGTGCGTGCAGTTTTTCCAAGCAAGGAGACTTTCTGAGTTCTCTGCTCACTTCATTGCCTGGTTCCTTTCTAGGCATTGTTTTCATCCCAGGGACACCCCAGTTAACAGCCAAAGACATTTCCTACAGGCTGCAGGCTTCCAAAGCCAAATGCATCGTGGTCAGCGACACGCTGGCCCCCGCAGTGGACTCAGTCCTGTCCGAATGCAATTTTCTGAAAACCAAGCTTCTTGTGTCTGACAGCAGCAGAGATGGCTGGATGAACTTCAAGGATCTCTTCCAGTAAGTACTGCAATGGACAGAGCATGAAACGAGAGCAACCAATCGCTATGCTCACTCTGCTAAGATATTCCAGGTATACAACACTTACTCAGTTATAGTTTCCTTTGGAAGAAAGTCACTGAGGACTCAGTGATGTTTTGTAACACTGGTATTTATTTACCAGCTGGGTGTAGGTGGAAGCATAGATAGAACCAAGGGTGGATAACTATCTTCAGGCCTAGGGCCAGATTGACCCACAACAAACCCTTCAGGGGTCATGTGTTAAGGGGGCTGGAGCTGAAGTGAAAAAGTGGGGATAGCCAATTTTATTTCTTTTTTTTAAAAAAGAACTCATTTGGGGGATCAGTAAGATCACAAAAATCTTTTGACACCACAGCAAGGACTCTTCAGGAGTGGTTAGTTAAAACATTTTTTAAAGATTTTTTTTTTAATAGACAAATTTGGAAGAGCTTGACAGGCACAGAAATCCTTTTGGCACCACAGTGGGATACCTACGAGAGCACACACTAAAAATATATAATCCATTTTAAATTTATTTAAATGGACAAATTTGGGGGGTCTTTGGAGCATGCCCAGAAAACTTCTTGGTGGCCGAGAAACTTGGATGCTGTACAGCAATCCATTGGATTTGTGCCAAGCTGGTATAGTTTGGGAAGCTTGCCAGGGGGTTTTATTCATGAAATGCATGTTTCACATTGATCCCGTACAATGTCACTGTTTTTAAGAGCAGCACCTGCCAGCCATGACTGTGTTAAGACAACAAGCGACGAGCCCATGATCATCTACTTTACAAGTGGGAGCACAGGGTCTCCCAAAATGGTGGAACATTCCCACTGCAGTTACGGGATTGGATTTACATCAAGCGGCAGGTAACGCCCATTGACTTCTTTCAAACTCTTGCGGTGGCAAAACAGTGCAACGCCATTTTAGATTAGGGTGCAAAGGGCCCTGACAGGATTGGAAAGCTTCAGGTTAAGAGGAAGGCAGGTGGATCAGAAGGATGGGAGGCTCAAGCGGGGGCACAGGTGCTGGGTTCTGTCCAACTTTTGGGGGGCAGCAGAAGTATGATGTCATGTGACAGAAGGAGGCCTGATGGGGACTGTCACATCCACGGGAAGGCTTGATGAGGCCCAACGTGGCTCTGGCTAGGCCTGACGGGGCATGGGATATTGACAGGGCCCAGTCCCCTGGTTGAAAATGGGGTGTGTGACTTGGCACCCCCCAGCTCCCCCCTAGATGGCACCCCTGGGCCAGGTAAAGCAGCATTGCCCATTACTAAGGTTGTAAGATTTCTGTTCTGGACTGTATTCAGCACTGTCAGCACTGTTTCTCTTGCACTGCAGTTTGGTTTCCCTCCAATACTGTGTTATTTGTCTCACTGTCTGGTACTTAATGCAAGTTATGTAACTTACATAATGTATGTAACTTTGGCTTAACTTGCAAGGTGCTGGTGGGGGAGAACAGAGGAGCAGGCTCAACCAATGGTGCAATTAGAGAGTTTTAGACTTGACTTAGATTATGATGTGTTCCCTGTGGGTCTTCTATTCTGCTAAGTGGGGCCCTAGACTTCCTCCCCAAAGTCTTACCTGTCAGCAGAGACAAAAGCATTGCTGGAGGTGAGGAGTTTTCTCTCTTTTATCCACTCCACTGCCCATATGGACTTTACACTTCTCCACCAGCTCTCCCTGTACCCTCTAAATCAGATGTGCAACATCTCTGCCGAGACATCCTGTAAACTGCTTCCTAGGATCCTGACTATCAACAGCCAATACAAATGTGTTCTTTCTCACTGAACAGGCACTGGATGAATCTGACTCCTTCAGATATATTCTGGAATACATCTGACACAGGATGGGTGAAGTCAGCTTGGAGCAGCGTGTTTGCTCCGTGGATCAATGGCTCGTGTGTCTTTGTACATCACCTGTTGAAATTCGAACCCACGGTCATAATAAATGTAAGAATAAAGGCCTGTGGAGTGTAGGTGGGTTGGGGCATGACCAAAGACTGAAATTCAGCTCAAAAAGGATTTATTGGATCATCAGGAACAAGAAGAACAAGAATGACAAACAGGGACACTTGACCTAGTATATATACCTTAAGCTGGCCCAGGCAAAACACACCCACCACCTGTGATAGGCTGCCTTAATGCTGCAATTAGCGAATCACAACACTGGCCCTATCTCAGCAGCGATTGGCAGCCTGCCAGCTATTAAGAATGTCATTGGAGGGTTTTAGATGTCTTTTGTTATGCAGATGAAGCTCCTGAGCTCCAGGAGGCTTGAAGGCCTAGGCCTGCATTGCATTCATGCAGCCTGGCTTCAGTCTACAATGCCTGCATACATAACATCCTGCATGCAGGTCATAGGTTCACTTTTAAGGAAAGGGTTCAGTTGTAAGGGATGAGCATTTCATGCAAAAAGTTTCAGATTCAAGCTTTGGCAAATATGGAAAAGATTTCAGTCTGAGGCTCTCAAGAGCCTCTGCCAGGCTATGTAGGGTCTGTGGACCAGAAATGAGGAACCTCAAGGTCTGGACCCAAATAAAGCCCTCTATGCTTCTAAAGAAGGCCTACCGGACTCCCCCTAGGTCACACCCCTTTCCAAGCCACAACCCTCACTGGTCCGGCTTTGCAGCCTCCTTGACCACTTTTGCCCAGCTAGAATGTGTCCTTCAACTCTGATAATGCCTCTTGATTCCCTGGACGGAAGATAGAGAGGGATAGGTGAGTGTGTAGTATCTAGAGCTGTGCACTGGGTCCCAAACTGGATCTTTCTGATTCTGGTAGACCTCTTTCAGCTGGATCAGGTTGAGGCAGCATGGGATCACCCCAGATCAGCTCAAGTCCACCCAGAGTGATCTGGGGCTGTCAAAAGAGAGGTCCACCTGGCAGCAAGGAGAAGGTAAGGAGATGGGCAATCAGTCTGTGTACATTGTTACACTGCATACCCATTTTTCTGATGTTTCTAAAGAGAGCTTCTTTTGAAAGTTCCTTCTGACGTCCCACCGAAAGCTACCCTCCTAACGTTGGATCTCACCCTATGCTCCAAAACCAGAATTTGAGGTTGCAATAATGGTTGTGCTTCCATTGCCTCCGTTCAGACTCTCAACCGATACCCAATCACGACTTTCTGCACAGCTCCTACTGCATACCGGATGTTGGTTCAGCACGATCTCACCAGGTACTTTCTAATGCGTAACTGGAAATATGAACACAAGAGAAGAACTGTGATGAGAATTGGACGGGTGTCAAACGGTTCTTGTCGTTTGCTCCAGTTGCTCATCTTTACCACGGATGGCTGTAGTTCCTAGTAGATCACTGTCCTTGTTTTATGGAGGTGGGTTGTTAAAATTTTGTTAGCCCATGAGCATATTTTGGTGCCGTGCTCTTGCAAGAGCCAAATGACTCGTGCGAGAGCACAGCACCACTGCCGAGCTCAGCAGCGGCTGTGCTGAAGGGAGGGGCCATTCTGGGATCTAATCGGAAGCCGGGATGGCTTCTGTAATTCCACGATGTCCCAGGAAAACACTTGAAGGGTATGTGTTTTTACCTTATTCACACTGTAGAATACCTGTGTGGGCAGGTAAGGAAAGATTGTAATTCATTTCTACATTATTGCATTATGGGAGAAAGAGACACTCTTGAGTCATTGCCTGTAGTTTGAGGCTTGGGGTGTTCTTAGGAATGGAGCCTGGCCCATACACCATGGCAAATGTTACGAAAACAGATGCTTAACCTAGTCTATCATTTGAATAATTGCATGACTAGAGAAATTGCATACTGTTCCCTGCATAATCCATTTGCTTAATCAAGTTAAGCATAATACCACTGCAAAGTGGTTTATGAAACACAGTCTAATCGAATTCAAGGGATTAGGTGAAAACACCAGCACAAATCCAGCTGGCTATAGCTGGTGCTTCTGTAGCAGGTGTGGGGAACCGACAGCCCTCTAGATGTTTCGGGAACACAACTGGCATCAGCCCCAGTGTCCTGCTCTAGGTGAGTCCCAGGTTGCAGGAAACTTTCCAGATAACCAAGACTGTTGTGGGTATGGGCAGCAGGAACATCCAAGGGCCGCCCAAGGTCCAATTCCAGACAAGCAGTGGTTCCTAGAGGGGCTCAGGCAAGGGTCCATCTGAGCTCCAGTCTAGGGCAGCAGAGATTCAAACAAAAACTCAGATAAGAGGGTAGCCCAAGGTCCAGCTCACCAGCAGCTCAGATAAAGAACAGGTCAAAGGGTGGGTCAAATTCCAGGTAAGAAAACAGCTAGCTGTAAAAACATTGGCAGGACTATTGTAATAACCTGCAGTTTTTAAAATATAGATATATGAAAATTGGTGAATAAAAGAATGATTTGATATAATTTAGAATATGCAGGTAATGATGATAAAAAAATTAATGAACCGCAGAAAGAGGAGGAAGTCGAGTTTTGAAATGTTTGATTTACTGTTAAACTACTATTGAAATGTATATAAATGAAAACCATAAATATATGAAGAAAACAGCTAGCTCTGTGTACAACACAACGTGGTGGTAGCAAGACATTGAGGCGTTAAGTCAGAGATGCCATAACCCCAGCCTGGGTCCTGCTGCAGCCTCTTCGAGATTCTGCAGAGAGACCTACTCAGGAGGAGGGTCCATGAATCAATAGCCCTTTACTCACGAGGAGTCTCCTGCAACCGAGCATTTCTCATGGCTGTGGGGGTCTCGGCCTGCCTCTTGAGGTACCATCACCCCTAGGTCTTGTTCTGCCTCTGGATCCCAGACTGAGCTCCCTTTCTGCAGGGAGGGGGCCCTGCCAGCCTCCCCCAAGGGTCCCAACTCTTCTGTGGATATTGTTCTGGGCTATTCCTGAGTTTCTGGGGCTCCGGATCCTCCTTGGTAGAGGAGTCATCTGGTGAGGGCATGGGACCCAGCAAGCAGAGCCGATGATCAGGGGTGATGGGAGTTGTAGCAACATCTGGCGGGCCAAAGCTCCCTCACCCCTGATCTATAGGATTGCTACTGATGGTTGCCATTTCTTCTCAAGCTGCAAATTCATGAGCCTGAAGCACTGTGTGACAGGAGGGGAACCACTCATCCCAGAAGTGATGGAGCGGTGGAAGGCTCATACAGGGCTGGATATCTATGAAGGCTATGGACAAACAGAAACAGTATGTCTGTCTTTGTTAGTGTGTGGTGGTGGGTCTTTCGACAGCATTCCATTCTGTCCAATCTTCTGGGGGGTAAATTCTAGTGGTGGGCGTGGCTAGGGACAAAAGTGGGCGGAGCAAGGAATGTAAATCTTTCTTTTTTCCTGGGCACTAGTTTCTACATGCACCTCTCGATCCCCTTTGCTCCTAGACCAAACCTTGCTTGTCTTAGATTGGTATGCTGTCTTCTCATGCCACAGTGAAAACAATCTCCTCCCTCTCCAAAATCACCCCAAATTTCATTTAGTTGTATTGTGCTCTCTCGATCTCTCTTTCTCTCCTGCTTACAGGTAACAATATGTTCCAATATAAAGGGAATGAAAATCAAACCGGGCTCACTAGGAATGGCTTCTCCACCATATGATGTCCAGGTACAAACTTAAATTTACCAGAATGGTGTCCATCGAAAGGCTTGAAGAAAACAGAGAATAAATATTCTTTATCCTTGTACTTTAATTCCCTATAATTTATCTGTCGCCAAGTAAATCCCCATTATTATGAATTGCGGGGAAGTCCTGTGTGTGCAAGTAATTTGCTCTTTTCTCAGCTGTGTCCCAGCTGAGCAGTCCATTTCCCTTGTTCCAAAGAATTGAATGGGAATCAATGAAAACTGATTAGCCCCCTCTTTATCTAAAGATTCTCAAATGTTTTCCATTTCTCAATAGAATATCATGTACTAGAACTCTGTGAACACACACACACACAATATGAATGCATTATATATATATATATATATATATATATATATATATATATATATACACACACACACACACACCGTAGAACTTAATGGGGGCCATTGATTACTAAGTCAATCCTCACTTGCATAGTTCAGTTTTCCATCTACATGTTCCTACTATTTCCCATTTCTTGGAGTGTAACAGAACCCTGAGAACAAGCTTTATCTATTTTTATTTATTCCATAGAACCTAATGGGTGCCACAGAGAACCAAGGATATGCATATAAATTTTAAATCAAGGCCTGTCAATTGAAATGATATGTGCATTTTGGGAAGCTTCCTTCTGTTGTTTGTTTGTTTGTTTGTTTGTTTCTACAGACTGTAGATGATGAAGGCAATGTTCAACCTCCAGGACAAGAAGGGTACATTGCGATCAGGATCAAACCCAAGCGACCATTTTGTCTTTTCTCAGGGTACTTAGTAAGTATTATCTGAGGTGACGAAGTGGGCAAACTAAGGAAGGAGAAGAAAATCAACACATAAGACTCTTGCTACACTTTTCTGTGTAACTTTTTAAGCCAGGGGGAGGCAAAGCTGTACCCTCCAGATATTGTAGGTCTTCGACACCCATCAGCCTCAGCCAGCCTGGCCAGATGTGAGCTATAACTCAGCAACATCTAAAAGGTATCAAGTTGCCTGCCCCTGCTCTAATGAATGAGTTGTACTTCCCTGTTCTTGTGGGAGGAATGTATTTTGGGTTTTTATGTTCATTTTTGTGTAGTGTTTTCTAATAAATAATAATAATAACTCGATTTGGTGTTCCTCAGCAGGTCTGGTGAAAATGTTCACCAACAGCTTCACTTGATCTGGGTTTGCATTTGTAACAGGGTTTGGTTGTGGTAAGGGATGGGGGAACGGATTGGATCCCATTCACATGTAAAGATGAACCTTCTTCATTTGCACTTCCCAAAACAATACCCAAACTGAAACACAGCCATCCTTTGGAACTTGCACTTTTCTGAATTTTGCAATGTCGTGGTATGTGTACCCCAAAAAAGGGCATATACCAGGGTAAAGTGCATACGTTGGTGGAAATAACTTACCTAGCTCTGCTATATTAAGGGAAATGGCTTTGCAGGACCTTGGTGCAACAGCCCTTTCCCCATTTGTGAATCCCAACAACTGGTATTCACAGTCCGATGGTATTCACTCCTCTGATGGTGGAGATGGAAAATAGCCATCATGGCTAAAATCCGTTCATAACTTCATCATCCATCAATTTGTCTAATCCTCTTTTCAAATCATCCACTCTCCCTTTGCATGGTGGTTTGGTTTAGGGTCTGGTGGAGAGTATGAGAAAATAGAGGCAACAGAGAGGCGGAGATAGGACACACTCAGATAGGGCAGAGGAGGTGACAGCATCTGGTCCAAGGACCCTCCAAGATCTGGAGCTGACACTGTAATCAACCCAAGAGCCAGTCGCCTTGCTATTTTATCTTGAGGCACCATTACCAAAAGGGACAGATCAGCAGTCATTGGTTGAAATGTTGTCTGGTTGTTGTTGCCAGGATAACCCTGAGAAAACAGCAGCTAGTGAACGTGGCGATTTCTATATCACTGGAGACAGAGCAATTAAAGATGAAGAAGGTTATTTCTTTTTTGTCGGAAGATCAGACGATTTGATAAATTCGGCTGGGTAGGTTTGGTTCAGTTGGCTTTTTCATTTGCTCTGCCACAAAAGGCACGGGACTGACCTCCTTCTGTCTCTTAGGTATCGTATTGGCCCGTTTGAAGTGGAGAGTGCCTTGATAGAGCACCCAGCTGTGGTGGAATCAGCTGTGGTCAGCAGCCCAGATCCCGTGAGAGGAGAGGTAACAGAGATTCAGGCAGCCAACACACTCTGCAACGCACCATACTCAGGGGGCAAAAGCCACATGCAGTTTGCTTGCTTGGGGAAAGCGTAATAAATCTTGAAACATGACAGCAGCACTGGCAGTACTGCATTTCAGGGATGCTTCTGAGTAGAGGAACTATGAAAATTTTCTCAGTGAGCAAACTCACCTTAGCTCAGCTGGGTACAAATGAAAAGTCGGGGGGGCAGCCCAATGCATGATCTTACCAGGACCACAATGGGGCCTAAATATCTTCCTTTCCCTAGAGATGCTGCCAACCTCCATGAATCCCTAAATCCTGGTCTTCCCTTCCCTCCAAACAGTTATATTTGCTATGCTCTGGCTATGGCCAACACAAAATTAATCTATCTTGGCCTGTAGTTCTCCAAGTGAGAATCCTTCTGTAGATAAAATGGCGCAATCCATGCTCAAGAGTTGGGGCAGCAGCAGGCTCAGGGGAACCCCCCAAATTTGCAATATTTAGAGGGGAATTTCCTAAGTGGGGTGAAACTACATGAGAATAGAGCGTGCTTAGTGGATGTGAAATGCTGGCTGACTGCAGGGGGACGAGGGGAAGGCGGATTAGAATGGAGTGTCTTTTGCTACACCAAGCACTTAATCACACTGAAACCTACTTTTTCTCTCTGAGTCATTAAAGCACATACAATTGGCATCCTATAGGTGGTGAAAGCCTTTGTCGTCTTGTCACCTGCCTTTTTATCACATGACCCAGAAGAATTAATCAAGGAGCTCCAGGATCATGTGAAAAAGGTGACTGCTCCTTACAAGTATCCTAGAAAGGCAAGTATCTTCCCAGGACCTAACCAGGAAATGACAGTGTGTGTTGAGAAGTCAAACTTTGGGAAATCAAGAAGTTGTGTCTCACTTTCCTCTTGGACTGATGTGATATGTGCCCTAGTGGCTTGGTGCTGACTTGGGGGACTTTTCCCTGCTCGTGACTCTAGGTACAGGAAGACAGCAATGATTTCACTGGTTCTCTGTAAGTGATATTGTGATATTGTGAAGCTGCCTTATCCCAAGTCAGACCAACAGTCTATCTATCTTCTCCCGATTCCTGCAGCCTCTGTTAACTCTGCTTGCTCAGGTCTCCCCTGCCTCCTGCAAACCACAAGAGCAGGCTCCGGCAAAAATCACAATGCAGGGAAAACCGGGAAACCAGCCAATGCCTCTACGTAGCACCCTCCTTATTTCAGACATCGTGAGATATCAGCATATCACGATGTTTAGCTGATGATATATCGTGATGTTGAAAACCAGATATTGCCCAGCCCTGTCCATGGGTACTAGTCATGGTGGAAGGATCCTCCTTCCTTGTACTTCAGTAGCAGCAAGCATCTGAATTACTAGCTGCAAGGGAACAGAGTGATTACGCTCCTGTTCTGCTTGTAGGCTTTCCAGAAGCATCTGGCTGCCACCATGAGAAAGAAGAGTCTGGACTGCATTGGCTTTCAGTCTGATCCACTAGGGCCCTTAGATCTTCAGAGGCCCTTCTCCAGGTCCCTCATCTGAGGAAGGCTTGGAGGGTAGTGACAAGCGAAAGGGCCTTGTCAGTTGTGGCTATTCAACTGGCTATTCAACAAAGGAGCCAGTGTGGTGTAGTGGTTAAGAGCGGCAGACTCGTAATCTGGAGAACCGGGTTCGCGTCTCCGCTCCTCCACATGCAGCTGCTGGGTGACCTTGGGCTAGTCACACTTCTCTGAAGTCTCTCAGCCTCACTCAGCTCACAGAGTGTTTGTTGTGTGGGAGGAAGGGAAAGGAGAAGGTTAGCTGCTTTGAGACTCCTTCGGGTAGTGATAAAGCGGGATATCAAATCCAAACTCTTCTTCTTCATCATCATCTGTGGAATGCTGTCTCCAGCAATGTCCATCTGGTGCCTTCACTGACATATTTTCAGGGCCAGGTCAAGCCTTTCCTTTTTCCAGCCAGGCCTTGGGATAGACTGTGATGCTGTCCTTTTCTTCCCAGTGTGCTACCAAAGCTTCCTCCAGCTGTTACAAGAGTTGTTTTGCTAGCTTTGTAAGGTACCATATATTTATATTAATTTTTGTATGCCTGTTAATTTGCTTGGAGGCCTTCAAGTAATGAACAAGTCTAATGAATAATAACAATGATCGTAGACTGGAGATGTTTTCGGGGTGTTGTTGTTTTTGGCTGGAAGAAGCCATTAACTTGACACTTCCACTCACATGAAAAACACTAAACTCTTGTGAGCCATGGTAACGTGACTGCAATAAATGACGCCAATGTCTTTTACTTTGCTAGGTCGAGTTTGTCCAAGAACTGCCAAAGACAGCTGCAGGGAAAATGCGAAGGAACGTTTTGCGGAAAAGAGAGTGGGGGACTGTCTAGCTTTGGAAGGACATTTGCATATGCAGAATCGTCCTGCAATCAGCTGTTTGCTCTGACGATGGAGAGTTTCCCCATCTTGCCTTCATACCCTAATCTATTGCTAAGTTCTGATATCTCAAGGAAAGGGATTCGAGCTGTCCAGCAACAATAACTATACTTTCTCCTAAGTTTGCTTCTCTTCTGTAATGAGTATGAGTTACTCGTGCGTAAACTGGTGCCTCTCTAGGCTAATTTGCCTTGTTAAACCTTTCTGGCTGCACAGCCCTTTCTCATCGTGGCTGCCTCAGTCGCTGGCAGAATCCGTCAGTGGGCGTTTCTTGAACCTCTTCCAACATAAAAGTTGTTTGACACCCAGTCTCCTCCTCCTCTCACTGCGCGGGAGTCTTCTGCGCAGGGAGGGCATGGGTAGCGGAGGAGCGGTGCCCTCCCCACTGAGGTCCAGTGAAGAGTCCTGGAGCCCTCTCTCCGATTCCCCCATCTGCCCCCCTTTATTCCTGGTTTTGCGCTGATTTGCTTCCCCCTCTACTGAGCTGTTTCTCCCCCTGCTGCTTGGTCCTTCGCCAGCATCATCTAGGAGCCTCCCCTTCGCCTCTCGCTCCGATGTCAGTTCCCTGACATCTTCATATGAATATCTCAACATTCCACCATTCTTCTTGGCTTTACCTTTTCGGCATGACTTTCTATGCCAAAATACCAGCATGCTTTCTCAGCAGGCCAACTGTTTTGAAAAGGCATGAGCCTTAAAATGAGCAGAGAGTGTCACTTCACAACTCTTCACAGCATGGACCCATGAAAAAGATGGGCAAATTGCCATGTGAAACGCCTGTGATTTTCCAGGTTGTCGGGCTGCAAATTGATTTTTTTTCTAGACCCAAATAACACGGAAATGAGCATGAAACCTACACTACATTCCATTCCTTTAGTTCTCCAGAACTGCCTTTCTACATCTTGTGAAAGCTCAAATATAATGTGCAAAATTGCAGTGAGAATGCAGCCTTTGTTGCCAAAGTGAACCTGCAATACATCAGGAATTCTTCACCGTTACATGTTTATTATTATTATTTCCTGTGGCCCTTCAGATGAAGTTGGTGGATTCCATCTCCCATCCATCACAAGACAGCATGGCTAATGGTTAGAAAAGATGGGAGCTGTAGTCCAGCAACTTCTGGAGAGACCCAGCCATGTAGAATGCAATGGATGTGTAGTTTGCTACAGCTTGCAGTTCTTCAGCTCATTCTAGCGATGGGCAAATTTGTTCATTCTGGTTTCCAGTTTTTCCAATCTTAAATCGGTTTCTAGATTAGTTTGTCTTAGTCTGCCCAAAAATCCATAGGCATTCCTGCCGGCATTTCTCCTAATAGATGCATTTATAGATTTTTGCAAACCATTTCCCATAACATCACAAATTTTGGGGTATTGTTTTCATGTGCGCACTTCTAGGTGCATCTATGTACACATTCTTTGGTTGGAAAACTTCATTGCAAAATTCAGTAAAATGTGGATTTTTAAAGGAGAGCTGCATTCCCCCCCCCCAATGTATTGGTTTGGGAAGTGCAAATCTGGTAAGTTTGTATTAAAATATGAACTGAACTAATCTCTATCCCATCCCCAAGTCATTCATATATTTCCCTTCCTTTGTGTTGCTGAGGAGCATGGTTGCACATGGTTGTAAAGCAAGATGAGCTCCGCAACCACAGAGTCGTCTGCGACTGGACTTAACTGTCAATGGTCCTTTATTAAAGGACCCCTGGATGGTTAAGTCCAGTCAAAGGTGACTATGGGTTTGCAGCACTCATCTCGCTTTCAGGCCGAGGGAGCAGGCGTTTGTCCATAGACAGCTTTCTGGGTCATGTGGCCAGCATGACTAAACCGCTTCTGGCACAACGGGACACCGTGATGGAAACGGAAATGCCGTTTACCTTCTATTCACAGCAGTACTTATTTATCTACTTGCACTGGCATACTTTCGAATTGCTAGGTTGGCAGGAGCTGGGACAGAGCAACGGGAGCTCACCCTCTCGTGCTGATTTGAACCACTGACCTTCTGATCAGCAAGCCCAAGAGGCTCAGTGGTTTAGACCACAGCTCCACCTGCTCCCTTAACACTCATCTAATCAACATACAACTGGCCCATCCCTTTGTTACATCTCAGTAATTTAACCAAATGCAGCCAGAGGAGACAAGACACCACTGAATGCCAAAGTTCATGGTGACATCAGAGCAAATCTGTCGCTGTTGCAAAATACCCTTGCCCAGTGCGATAGGCTGTGATCCTTCTCATCGTATATACATATATTGAAGAACATTAGTTCTTTGCACTGTTTTGCAGAAACACTTGGGTCGGAAATGCCACATAGCCTGTGTATATTTCCCTTGCATTCTGCCAACCATAATTTTATAAGACATTAATGTACACGAAACTTTTATGTTATGCTGCCCACTGTGCAACATATTTGCAGAGCTGACCTTTGCATTTCTTCAAAGGAAAGAGTTTTTTGATTGTACCAAATAAATAATCACTGGAAATAAAGGTATTTTCACTCTTTTTTTTTTGGGGGGGGAGGAATATTTATTAAAGTTTTCACAATACAACAAAAGAAACAAACTAATAAAGAAAAGAAACGAAAGAAGGAAGGAAGGAAGGAAGGAAGGAAGGGAGGGAGGGAAAAAGAAACTATTAGATCCTCCCTCAACACTATATCTTAAATTTCATCCCCTACAAAGAAAGGGGTTTTCTCATTCCTTAAACACATGTGAAATATCTGAAAGAACGCTTCCTCCCCTATTGACCAGCCCAGGAATTAAGATCATCAAAGGAGATCTTCCTGGTGGTGCCACCACTCTCAGAGGTTCAAAGTGGGTCTTTAGTTAGAGGGCCTTCTCAGTGATGGCACCAAGAATACGAAACTACCTCCTCACAAAGATACATGTGGCACCAGCTCTTTACAGGTCTCAATGGTTGCTGAAGACAGAGCTCTTTAACCTGGCCTTCAAAAACTGAAGAGATTATTTCAGTGTCCTCCCTGTAATATGTTCTATGGGTTATTGATTTTGGAGTTGTATTTTGGGAGGGAGGGGATTATGGTTAACAGTAACTAGTTTCGAATTTGGGACTTCCGGGACGCCGCGGCCACGGGAAGGAGCGCGAGGCAACTCGTCTGAGGAGCCTCGAACAGCGTGGGGGTCTTAGAGGGGTCACGAAGGCTCCGTGAACCCCTAAACCACAGGTGGAATATCCTGTTGGCCAAAACACCCAGCAAGGCTGCGTGTGCTCGCCTGTGTTGCCGGCGTTTAACAAGGCTGGAGCCGCAGCGAGAAGGGGAAACATCAGACTCCATGCTGTGAAGCCTCAGGCTCCGAGTGAAAGCGGCGGACCTCCGACAACAGAGGAAAAGCTGGGAAATAGTTCTAAAGCTTTGATGAAAGCAGAGGAGGGAGAACACTGGAAAACAATCAAAGTAAAAGCAAAAGGAACGTTGAATGAAGTTGAATGAAGTACCCAGCGGAGAAGTAATTAAAGACAAATGAAGGAGGAATTCACTACTGGCGGTAAGAATGATAAAGGAGTAAAGCGAAAAGCTGGCAGACGTGAATGAAAGAGCAAGAAAGTAACCGCTAGCGAGGGGAAGGAATATCCTCGATAATAAAGTACATTTTACAAAGTACAAAGTACAAAGAGTTGGAAGCAAGGTAATACTGAGTTTTCTTCTTTTGATAGAGAGACTCTTTACCGGGTTTGAGAGGAGGAAAGGAGGTTTCTGGGGCATTTGGTTGATGCTTTAACTGACAGGTTTTTTGAGGACGTTATTGTTAACATCAACTTTTTGTTTGAAGTGGGTGGAAGAAAGCATGGGTCTTCCCAGACCTTAATGTTGGTTTTATGTTAGTGACTTCCCCATGGGTATAAACAAGGGAGGAGGAAGCCATTTCGAGACCTAACTTGGCTTTGCTATCCGCCATTCCATCTTGTCCTTGATCTACTACGCCTCTGCATGTATTTGAGATTTAAAGGGACATGCGCCAAAAGCCAAATAGGAGAATTTAAACCAGCATAAAGAACACTTCCTGAAGAACTTCCAAGTCTCCAGTAAAGAAAATTTTTTTGGTGACGCCAGACCTCTATAATACCACCCTCTAAGAGGACAAAGACTGTAAAAGGTAAAGATTGTAAAACTTTGTGTATAGCCTGATGTGTGATGCCTAATATCTGCTATTATACCCCAACACCAGACCCGGTAACTTATTAACCCATCAGAGATTATCGGTGATCCTGTGCCTCATCCCTTTTTGAATAACATTAGTGTGGTGGACCCCAAGACCTTTCAAGCCTACAAAATGACAAACGGTGCAAAAAAAGGCGTGGCAACACCAGCGGAAAGGAGGTCGTCGAGGCAAGAGGATGCTAAGGAAAGTAAAGAAATTAAAGACTATAGCAGTCTGATGGCCGAAATAAGGAAAGAATTCAAAAATAATGAACAATATATTGAGAGAAAATTACTTGAGGTACAGGACACTTTGGATAAGAAATTGGAGGGAGTGGTGGGGGAATTGACAGGAAAGGTTAAAGATTTATCAGTAAGAACTAAGGTTTTGGAAGATTCAATGAAAAAGGTGCAAAAAGATACGAAAATTAGTAAGAAGGAGGTGGATAGAATTAGAGTAGAAGTTAAAGAGATAGAAAGAGTGCAGGAGGAGTTGTTGGACAATATGGCTATGACGCAAATGAGGCAAAATCAAACCAACCTAAAACTGAGGGGTGTACCAGAGACCCCAAATGAGAATATTAGATCTAAAATGATAAAAGAGCTGGCAACTTGGTTAAATAAGAGCGAGGAGGAGGTAAACTGCCATTTAGTAAATATTTTTCGAATAAGACCAAAATCAGACAGAGCCAGAAAGAAAAAGCTGCCAGGTGATGTAATTGTCATGTTCAACACTTTGGAAATAAGAAATGAAATACTGCAACAGAACCACATAAAAGGTTATATATTGGAGGAAGCCCAATTATTATCTTTAGAGAAATTCCTTCGAGATTTCTTCGAAGGAGAGAGCCATACAAAAATTAACAAACCAATTGAAGAAGAATGGGATATTGTATAGATGGGAGTTTCCCGAAGGCATTTCATTCTACTTTAAGGAAAAAGGTTTAAATTAAGCACCAGTATTGAACTCCAAAAATTTGCGAGGAGATATGAGAAGGACCTGGGAAAAGTTGAAGGGGAGGTGGAAAGGGAGGAACGACAGAGAGACGAGGAGGGTGAAGGGAGTGAAGAAGAAGAAAAAGAGGAGAGCTTAACAGGAGAAGGAGAAGAACAAGAGGAGGAAAGCAAGGAACAGTAGTCTCTATTTAATCTAGTTAAATTAGCTAGAATAGTTTAATAGATGGCTTTAAAAACAATAAGCTGGAATGTCAATGGTTTGAACAATAAAAATAAGAGGAATCAGATTGCACATGTATTGTTGAAAAGAATTGGGATTTAATTTGTCTTCAAGAAACGCATGTTATAGGAAAACACAAGAGAGTATTAAGTAATAAGAGATTGGGATTGGACTTTGTGACCTCCGACAAGGTTAAGAAAAGAGGGGTAGTAATTTATATAAAGGAAAAATATGACCCGCAACTACTGTATAAAGATGAACATGGGAGAGTAGTGGTGGTACAGATGGTGTTTCATGGAGAAAAATAGTTGTGGTTGGAATATACGCCCGAATGAGAAAAAATCAGCTTTCTTTTTGGAATTAGATAATATACTAATGGAATGGATGGACCAGAAAATGATATTGATGGGAGATTTTAATGGGGTGGTGACGCCGAATATGGATAGATTAACAAAAAGACAAGATGGGAAAGAAGGTAAACTACCACGATCTTTCTTCGACATGGTAAATAATTTGGGATTGACGGATGTTTGGAGGTTTAAAAACCCTACTGCAAAACAATTCACTTTTTTTCAAATCCGAATCAGAGCTGGGGGAGGATAGACAGTATTTGGGTCTCGAGGGAATTGGTACAGAATTTAATTAAGTCTGAAATTTGGCCTCGAACTTTATCTGATCATAGTGCGGTTTCCATGGAGTTAAAAGGTAGAGAGGTTAAAACAGCCAGATGGAGAATGAATGAATATTTATTCAATGATCAAAGGATAGTAAATAAGGCTATAGAAACAATTGAAGAATACTTTAGGTGGAATTTAAATGGAGAAACTTCCATAGAGATGGTGTGGGACGCAGGAAAAGCGGTCATGAGGGGTTTTTTGATTCAGAAAAATACCCAATTAAGAAAAGAAAAAGAAAAAAAGAAAGAGCAGATTTTAACACAGATTATGGAAAATGAAAGAAAATTAACTGTTAACCCTAGTGAAGAGAGTTTAAAACAGAACTTAAAAATACTACAAGCTAAATTTGCTACAATAATTAACCAAGAGATAGAGTGGAAAATTAAAAGGATGAATCAAAAGAACTTTGAGTCCGCAAATAAGATAGGGAAATATCTAGCGTGGCAGTTGAGAGAAAGGAAGAAGTTGAATACGATCAGTAAAATAAAAGAAGGAGATATGATTATGGAAGAACCAAAAGAAATAAAAAGAATATTCCAAAGATATTATAAGGATTTGTACAAAAGAGGAGAGGAAACAGAACAAGAAATAGATCAATTTCTGCAAAAACACCATCTGGAACAAATTGTAGAAGATGAAAGAGCAGCACTAGATGAGATAATAACACAGGAAGAGATAAAAAGGCTATTAAAAAGATGAAAGCTGAGAAGGCGCTGGACCGGACGGCCTTCCGGCCAAATATTATAAAACATTAATTAACCAAATATCACCAGTGCTGGGAGAGGTTATGAACAATATATTGAGAGAAGGAAAGATACCTAATACCTGGAAGGAAGCCTATGTTATATTGATCCCTAAAAAAGAGGTGGACACTATGGAAGTAAAGAACTATAGGCCAATCTCATTATTAAATAATGATTATAAGCTATTTGCAGACATAATGGCGGAAAGATTAAAGAAGGTCTTGATTAATAAAATTCATGGTGATCAAACAGGATTTCTCCCAGGGAGACAATTACGGGATAATGTAAGGAATTTGATTGACATTATTGAATACCTGGACATGAAAATAGACAGAAAAGCCGCACTGGTTTTCATAGACGCCGAAAAGGCATTTGATAATGTTTCCTGGAACTTCCTAAAGAAGGCTTTGGAAAGGATGGGAATTGGCGAAAAATTTAGAAGAGGCATAGAAGCAATATACAAAGAACAGAAAGCAAAGCTGGTGATAAATAACAATACAACAGAATATTTTAACATTTATAAAGGGACCAGACAAGGTTGCCCCTGTCCCCCTTATTATTTATTGTAATTTTGGAAGTACTTAATAAGAGACTGAGGGAGGCAACAGAAGTGAAAGGAATTAGAGTAGGAAAGAAGGAATTCAAAATTAAAGCCTTTGCCGACGATATTGTTTTGACTTTGGAAGATCCACAAGATAGTGTAAAAGAAGCATTACAAAAATTGAGGAATTTGGAGAGGTGGCAGGTTTTAAGGTACACAAGAATAAATCTAAAAGGCTGGTTAAAAATTTAACTAAGGTAGAACCGAAAGATCTAGAACAAACAGTGGAAATCATGGTGGTGACACAAGTGAAATATTTGGGAGTGTGGATTACGGCAACCAACATAAACCTATATAAAGATAATTATGAAGTTACATGGAAAAAAATAAAGAAAGATCTGGAAATATGGGGGAGGATGAAATTTTCCTTTTTAGGGAAGATAGCAGTGGTTAAAATGAATGTTTTGCCGAGGATGTTGTTTTTATTTCAAACTCTTCCAGTTATTAAAGGTCTAAAACAATGTAAAGAATGGCAGAGAACCCTGATGAAATTCATCTGGCAGGGGAAAAGACCAAGGATTAAAATGAAAATACTAATTGATAAAAAGGAAAGAGGAGGTTTTGCCCTCCCAGATTTGAGCCTATATTATGAAGCAGCGTGCCTACTTTGGTTAAAAGATTGGATAAAATTGGAGAACAGAGACCTACTGGATTTAGAAGGTTTCAATAACCGGTATGGGTGGCACGCATATCTCTGGTACGAGAAGGTGAAAGTCCACAGGGCTTTCTTAAACCATATTTTCAGGGGACCAATATATCAGGTCTGGGAAAGAAATAAGAACCTTCTCGAAAGAAAAACACCATGGTGGATTTCACCAGTAGAGGTCTTAACAATAAAAAAAACCAACCTGGAAGGGAAGACAGCCACCTACGAAGATTTGCTAAGAAAATCAGAACAAGGGCTTAAACTTAAACCGTATGAGGAAATAAAGGATCAATTCACCGGCTGGCTACAATATCATCAGGTGAATGATATGTTAAAACAAGATAAAAGAAAAATGGGCTTTGAGGACAAGAAATCAAAATTCAATATAGAAATAATAGAAGGCAAAAACAAAACATTGTCTAAATTATATGACATATTACTGGAATGGCATACAAAAGACGAGGAAGTCAAAGAGGCAATGATTAAATGGGCAATTGACTTCGGTTATAACATCGAGTTTGAAAAGTGGTTGAAATTGTGGAATAGAGACATTAAATTTACGGCCTGTACGAGTTTGAGAGAAAATGTTTGGAAAATGCTCTATAGATGGTATCTTACGCCGGCAAAATTGGCTAAAATCTATAGATCAGAAAATAAGACATGCTGGAAATGTGGTGAAGGGGAGGGAGACCTCTACCATATGTGGTGGCAATGCAGCAAGGTGAAGGTTTTTGGGAAGCAATTTATAATGAACTTAAAAAGTTTTTAAATACACTTTTCCCAAGAGACCTGAGGCCTTTTTGCTGGGAATAATGGGTAAGGAAATAAAAATGAAGATAAAAATATTTATCTATGACACCACAGCCGCAAGAATTATGCTGGCACAAAACTGGAAAATAGAAACTATTCCTAACATAAGTGACTGGCAGGTCAAAATGATCAACTATGCCGAGCTAGATAGATTAACAGGCAGAATACGAGACCAAGACGACCAGAACTTTCAAAAAATTGGAGTAAGTTTTGGAAATATATTGGAACGGATATATAGGAGGAGCTGGCGGTATTAGAAAACTTTATCAGCTAATAACTATAAACTTTAATAAACTAATTACGCAACCCGGGACTTATTTGATACTTACCAAAAGGGTGAAGGGAAGTCAAAGGCTAAGGAGAGCCTAATGGTTATATTATTATTTTTTGTATGAACGTATGCTTTCTTTTGTATAGTATGAAAATAGGATGAATAATTTATGTTAAAATGTTTATTTTTGTATTTGTTAGTTATTTTTTCTTTTCTTTATACAAATTCTGAATAAAAATTTACTTGCAAAAAAA